CCCCACCCCTCTCCGGGGAGGAAAAAGTCTGAAAGAAACACTGAAACCAACCCACCCCTCCCCCCCCCCCCCACCCCTCCACCCCCCCCCCCCCCCCCCTAAAAAAAAAAATGTCTACCGTCCCCATTGCAAGAAAACCACTTTTTAGATTAGACACATTAATTAGGCTGTAATTTTATTATAGAGTATCGATGAGGAAATTTCTTTTGAGTTGGGGAGGGGGGGGGGCTAAGACGTTCTTACGCGGGGGGTGGGGCTTCGAAGAATTGTATGCAAGAAACTCTTCACGCAAACCATTTAGATTAGACAACATTTCCTTGTTTTCAATGTTTACGCGAGAATCAATGACGTCATTACATTACTGTGTGCACTCTCTGGTTTGAGATTATGTTCTACTCTACGCTAAATGTGTCGACGTCATATTTCGTTTTTCGAATTACTGTGCATGTTTTTAAATTGCTTGTGTTTTCTCTAGAGCGTTCTTGTCAGACAGAGCGTTCTTGTCAGATAGACAGACAGCGAAACTATTAGTATTAACGAGAAAAATGGCCCGTTGAGGAAGGGTACAACGGGCGCTAGGCTGATAGTGCTGTCTCTTATCTCTAAACTAAAACCAACCCACCCCCCCCCACACACCACCCTCACCCCACCCCCCACCCCCACACACCACCCCCACCCTCACCCCCCACCACACACCACCCCCACCCCCACCCCTCACCCCCACACACCACCCCCTCCACACACCGCCCCCCCACCCCCCACCCCCCCCCCCCCCCCAAAAAAAAACATGTCTACCGTCCCATTCAACGAAATATAATTATATACTTTTTCCAGTGTCCGCCCCCTCCCAGAAAATTCTACCCCCGCCCCCGAAAATTTCAAGTACCCCCACCCCTCTCCGGGGAGGAAAAAGTCTGAAAGAAACACTGAAACCAACCCACCCCCCCCACACACCACCCCCACCCCCCCCACACACCACCCCCCACCCCCCCCCCCCCACACACACACCCCCACCCCCACCCCCACACACACACCACCCCCCCACCCCTCCACCACCCCCCACCCCCAAAAAAAAAACATGTCTACCGTCCCATTCAACGAAATATAATTATATACTTTTTCCAGTGTCCGCCCCCTCCCAGAAAATTCTACCCCCGCCCCCGAAAATTTCAAGTACCCCCCACCCCTCTCCGGGGAGGAAAAAGTCTTAAAGAAACACTGAAACCAACCCAACCCCCCACACCACCCCCCACCCCCACACACCACCCCCCCCCACACACACCCCCGCCCACCCCTCCACACCCCCCCCCCCCCCCCAAAAAAAAAAACATGTCTACCGTCCCATTGCAAGAAAACCACTTTTTAGATTAGACACATTAATTAGGCGGTAATTTTATTATAGAGTATCGATGAGGAAATTTCTTTTGAGTTGGGGAGGGGGGGGGGGGGGCTCAGACGTTCTTACGCGGGGGGTGGGGCTTCGCCCCTACCCGAAGAATTGTATGCAAGAAACTCTTCACGCAAACCATTTAGATTAGACAACATTTCCTTGTTTTCAATGTTTACGCGAGAATCAATGACGTCATTACATTACTGTGTGCACTCTCTGGTTTGAGATTATGTTCTACTCTACGCTAAATGTGTCGACGTCATATTTCGTTTTTCGAATTACTGTGCATGTTTTTAAATTGCTTGTGTTTTCTCTAGAGCGTTCTTGTCAGACAGAGCGTTCTTGTCAGATAGACAGACAGCGAAACTATTAGTATTAACGAGAAAAATGGCCCGTTTAGGAAGGATATAACGGGCGCTAGGCTGATAGTGCTGTCTCTTTTCTCTAAACTAAAACCAACCCACCCCCCACACACCACCCCCACCCCACCCCCCACCCCACCCCCACCCCCCACCACACACCACCCCCACCCCCACCCCTCACCCCCACACACCACCCCCTCCACACACCGCCCCCCCCCCCACCCCCCACCCCCCCAAAAAAAACATGTCTACCGTCCCATTCAACGAAATATAATTATATACTTTTTCCAGTGTCCGCCCCCTCCCCGAAAATTCTACCCCCGCCCCCGAAAATTTCAAGTACCCCCACCCCTCTCCGGGGAGGAAAAAGTCTGAAAGAAACACTGAAACCAACCCACCCCCCCACACACCACCCCCCACCCACCCCCACACACCCCCCCCCCCCACACACCACCCCCTACCCCCCACCACACACACCCCCCCCCCACCCCTCCACCACCCCCCACCCCCAAAAAAAAACATGTCTACCGTCCCATTCAACGAAATATAATTATATACTTTTTCCAGTGTCCGCCCCCTCCCAGAAAATTCTACCCCCGCCCCCGAAAATTTCAAGTACCCCCACCCCTCTCCGGGGAGGAAAAAGTCTGAAAGAAACACTGAAACCAACCCACCCCTCCCCCCCCCCCACCCCTCCACCCCCCCCCCCCCCCTAAAAAAAAAAATGTCTACCGTCCCATTGCAAGAAAACCACTTTTTAGATTAGACACATTAATTAGGCTGTAATTTTATTATAGAGTATCGATGAGGAAATTTCTTTTGAGTTGGGGAGGGGGGGGGGGCTAAGACGTTCTTACGCGGGGGGTGGGGCTTCGAAGAATTGTATGCAAGAAACTCTTCACGCAAACCATTTAGATTAGACAACATTTCCTTTTTTTCAATGTTTACGCGATAATCAATGACGTCATTACATTACTGTGTGCACTCTCTGGTTTGAGATTATGTTCTACTCTACGCTAAATGTGTCGACGTCATATTTCGTTTTTCGAATTACTGTGCATGTTTTTAAATTGCTTGTGTTTTCTCTAGAGCGTTCTTGTCAGACAGAGCGTTCTTGTCAGATAGACAGACAGCGAAACTATTAGTATTAATAGTGACCATTGGCAGGTCCTAGTTAAGTTTATCCAGGGAGATAACCTGTTACTTGTTATTGCCATGTATTATTGCGGTTTTTTTTTACTACCCACTTGGATAATGTGTACTTAGTTTTATACTGAGTGTCTACAATAATATTGTCTGTTGTATTATTTTTGTAAGGTTGTTACCTTAATAACATATTACTTTGTATATTAATACATTTTTAAAAGGCTGGCTTTCTTGCACACGTTTCATTGTTATGAAGCACTTGATCACATGTGGTACTTTTTACATTTACTTGCATCATTAAAATATTTTTTTAATACTTATGTTATTAATTCTAGTGACCACTAGACTAGAATTAAAAACAATCTGTTAACTTATTTTAACAACAACAAAAAAAATCACCACGCCGAGGGAAAAAAATATAAAAAATACTTATGTTATTAATGGCTTTCATGATGTTACTTCAACTCACTATAATTTAGCCACCACTGTTACACGGAGTCAATAATTGCTTTTCATAGAATTTTATTTTTGAGTAAGCGGTGGGGGTGTAGTGAACGAGTGAAGGGGGATGAATTGGGGGGGGGGGGGGGGTGAATGTTGTTTTTACCTGTTACCCTCTATTCCGTTCGTCCCTGTTCAGTTCTCTAGCAGTGAGTTGTAGTAATAGTCCTGTTTGTACCAGTTTATAAAAGGGTATAAGGTGTATGAAAACGTGTGTGATTGCCTCATTTTCATCCAGATCTCCAAGGTTGGGTCTATTTCCATTGTATCGTAGTTTTACTAGCAGTTTGTAATTTGGTTTAAGAATAGTTAGGTGTAGATATTAAATTCTCATATAGTTATTTTAACGGCTTGTTTTGTAACTAGTTTGTGGTTGCTTGTCTTATATGTTGCGAATTAAGATTGGATCACCCGTAAGGCGTGGCAGTGTGTTCACAACAGATATGTAGGCCTACTATAGTATTTGCACCAATTTGGAAATGGGTATATTTTGTGGTAAATTTTAAGTAACCTTCCTGTTTCAGAGACTACTTGATACAATTTAATTAATCGTAAATTATGTAAAAATAATGGTTAGTAGAGACTAACGAGTTTACCAGCATGAATATGATTGTTTTTTTAGCATATTTTGAAGTGGGTGAACCACCGCACTCTTCTCATGATTGTGACAATATGCCCACATAATTCAAGCATCTGTGTGATACATCCAGGTGACAGAGGAGAACTGTTGCCTACATTTTGATAAAATTATTTCTGCAGTTGTATCCAATTCATTCCCAATGTAAATGTTTTCATTTATTTTTTCCCTGCTTTTCAGTTTCACACTTCAGGTTTGAAAAAAACGTGTTTGAATCCTATTTATTTATAAAGATTACTTCAAAGGTATCCAAGCTGTTAGAACACTATTAATATCAATACGGCATTACAGAAACACTAGTGTAGTATCTAATGAGATACATTAGCAATAGGTAACTAAAGCTCAGGGTTAATTAAAAACCTGCCAAAAGATTGCCATAAGTTAAGTAATCTGGTTTTAGAGTTGGTAGGATATCTTTAGTTTAAGTGATATTTTAGTTATCAAGCCCAGTAACCTTCCCTTAAAATAGAAAGTTAACTTCAAAGCTGGGTATCAAATTTTTGACAAGATTTTATTTTAAACAAGAAATACTATCATTTTTAAGTTCATTTCCTTTCTACTAATTGTACTTTCTGACTAACCTGTGGAATACAGCAGCAGGTAATATGCTGGTGACACAAATATGCTAGTATAAAATAAACTTTTCACTCATCTATTTTTTGTATTTATCATTATCAAGCCAAACCTTCGCAGCAGTTGTGAATACTGTAAATGTTATTGGATTGCCTGGATCAATTTCCCCCAACCCTACTCCCATGCACTAGGGTAACAAAGTCCTAGAATGTGTGACCCCCTAAGTACAAAAATCAATAAACAGTGATAACTGATTACTTAGGCCCAAAAGACTTGAAATTCTGGCAGCCATGCTTTGATCTTTGGGTTGCAGCTTTCTTCAGACCAAGTATAATTTAGTACAATTCTCACAAAATCACAAAGGTATCAAAAGAAAACAAAACAAAAAAAATTCACTAAAAGGATCACTTTATTGACATGAAGACAATCCTGTAACAGTTAAGCAACCAAAGCAGAAGCAGTAGAGGATTCACTGTGGGAAAAAGAGGTGATCCGTTGGTAGTTATAAATATAAAGCAATTGCAAAGTTTAACATTTTTCTAAAGAATCCTGAAAAAAAAAATGAAATTTGTGAACTTACTATTTCCAGGTAGGAGGCAAAACTTTTTTAGTTTTGTAATAACGAGCTAAACGATGAATCCTAGATTCAACCAAAATAAGCCTGTATTTTGCATCTTTGTCCTAAAAAAAAAAAACAGCAATTTATTAGAAACTTGCACTTAATATGAAAATTACACTGCATTAACTAACCCCTGGTTTCAGTAATAATGTGGTTGATTTGCATCAGTAACAATCAAGAGTAGCAAATATGGTCATCATTAACAAAGGGTGATCAGTTAACAGTGAAAACTGGTACATGATTAAAAATTTTAACATACAAAGAAACAATTCCAGATCAAGACAAGGCCACTTTTTATCAAAAAAATGTCTCCTTGATAAATCAAGTATAACATTTGGATAGTAACACTATTTAGCTATTTAACCCAAACATTTCAAACCTCAACTGCCAACGGTCGTCCTCTTATTGCAAAGTAAAAAAGTACCCCAGTCTAATTTTCACACCACCACATGGAACCAGTTATTTTTAAGGGAGTATTACATCCTACATTGTCCATGATGCACCAAACTGTACATCTATCAGCCAAACACTTGTATACACACTGGTGTAGCAACCTTTCTTCTTGTAAGCGGGATAAGCTCTCTCAAAAGTAATAAAATATCTCAACAAACTTCATACAAGGGAATAAGTGTTATAATAATCGGGGAATAGATTCAGTGAGAATTGACCAATTATACTATGGTAAAGTAAATTTAAACCATTCTTGATAGGATTAGCGATGTAAGAAATGCACTGCTGCCTAGTATTTCAAAGCTTATTTAATATATACAGCTTTCAACATAAAAAAGATTATAGTAAACATACAGCTAAAACATTTAAATAACACTTAAATAACAGATAGGGATGAACAATAACAATTTGCGCCAGATGTCTCAGTCCAAAAAATGGTGGTAAATTTTTCAGCATATTTAAATCAAGAGTAGCAAATACAACATCATTGACATCTGGCAGTCTTAACTCTTACTACTGAAATTATCCCCCAACTACTACTGTTTTGAAAATAAATTTATCAAATGATCTATTTAGGCATACTTATCAAGAAATGTTTTTAACCCACAAGGAAATGTATAATTTACCGTTTTACTATCAGTATCTTTAATTAGGCAGTCACCATGTTACAGCAGTAGTGCTGTGGGTATGCAGTGTTTGAAGCAAATGAAATCTATAAAGAATGTTCTACACGGTACATGGTCTTTAATACAGTTGTACAAACCTTCCTACTGCGTTCCAAATGTTTACGAATATTGACAGCTTTCTTGATCAAACTGTACAGATCTTCTGGCAGACTAGCAGCGAGACCCTTCTTTTTTAAAATTCGCAAAATTTTGTTTCCAGTGACAAAGCGAACTTGGGCAACACCATGTGAATCCCTTAGGATAACACCTAAAATTTTAAAAGTAAATATTTTATCCAAAAGCCCATAAAGTAAGTTAAGGGGGGCAAAATTCAGGCCTATACAACCGGGCTGGTAAGTAGGTCACCAACCAGTTCTATGGCTCAATAAAACCAGCAGAAGCCATAGAACTGGTTGGTGACCTACTTACCAGCCCTATTGACATTAAGAAATTTTTTAAAACTTAATAATTTGTGTCTTGAAGTTATGTCACACTTTTTATATTTTAAAATTTCATCATGCAATCCTTATTGTTCCAGCTAAAGCAAACTTTTTACTAATTTTCCAAAAATTATTTTAGAAAACACGTTAAACTAAAATTTGAACAATAACCTTTAGGACAATTTTGTTAGTTTTTATTGCACTCTTTAATAGTATTACTTGCTAACTTTTTTTTTTAAAACCACTATTTGGTGACCACTAGTGAGGAACTCTAGTGCATACCCAGTTATAAATTTTCAAGTATGTAATTTTGTCTAAAATCAGCTAAAACCCTCAGAATTAGTGCCTAATTGATTAAATATGGATGTTTATTAGTTGGCCGATTCTAGCCGGAATAAGATAAGCATGCGATACGCAATGCGCAATGGAGAGAAACAATGACTTGCCTTAGCGGCGATGTTTTCGATGGTACTGCGCATGCGTGTGTTTACAACCGCAGAACCCTAACACCTACCCTATTCCTATCCTTAACCCTATCCCTATCCCAAACCCGTATTCTAACCCTAGCCATAGGTCACTGCGCATGCGCAGAGCTATCTTTTGCCGACTAAGTGGAGACGTTGGGGAGAAAAATCTTCCGACACTTCGTTATTAGTTAGTGGTCATGTTCAAATGAAAGTTTTAGATTTAGCGAGAAAAACTACGCTATAACCTGTATAGTAAAAACTAGTAGGCCCTATATGGTAGTTTTTCTCACTAAATCTAGAATTTACGCAATTATCAATTTAAACATGACCACTGAATAATAGACATCCATATTTAATCCATTAGGCACTAACTTTGGAGTTTTTAGTTCGTTTTGAACTAAATTAGTTAATTTAATATTTATTGTCAATCACTACCATGTCCAACACATCTCTCCATGACAACTGTTCTTAAGCTTGAAGCTAAAGAAAACCACAAATCAGGTTAGACTCCATGCACAAGAGTTCCTCACTAGTGATCACCAAATAGCGGTCACGTGGTTTTTAAAAAATAAAAATAAATTGGTTGTGATACGGACGCCGGTCTTATAAAAAAACAGCTCACAATATTTGATTTCTTTTTTCATAGACTGATAAAACTAATAATGCTTTACGTTCTCGCTCATTTCTGTACCTACACTGTTGATATTTTTTAAATTCTATTAATTTTAATGAAACCAACTTTTGAATTTAGCCTCCGTTCTCCAAACCAAATTTTAAAATGCTTTTCTGGCATATCTAACCCTGCCACTTATGGTTTGTTGTTATGACACGGAAATCCCGCCATTTTGCGCGTGGTAAACATTTTTAAATGTAATTAGTTGAAGGTCTCTGGAATTTGGCCGAAAAATCACCGGAAATCAGACGTCCGGTCCGGGCGCCATATTGTTGTTAGCAACCGACCACGCATCCAAGTTAGAGAGAAATACTACTATATGGTCTGTCTAATGAATGTTTTTGCAAATTTATTGGGTGTTTTTTTTTTATATTTTCTTGTGTCCTGGCATGACGTATTCCGTTTAGCTGAAACCTATCATCACATAGATCTATGTACCTACCAATTTGAGAGGGTGTCAGGCCCTTTTTAGCCAATTTGTATATCTGTTCTTCTACGTCGTCAGCGGGTAGTTTCAGCCACTAAATTAATAAAAAATTATTAAATTTATTTTTAAGTCATGGTTTACTTTACTGTGCTGTTTTATGTAGATCTATATCAGGGTCCAGCAATGATAAAAAATTACATTGGAATAAAATAGTGTCAGGTTACTGGTAAAAATCACAAAGCAAAAGCCTTGTTCCAAACTCTAAACTAGACACGAAACTGTCTTAACGAAAACTTACAACTGGTACTGTTCTTCTGTATGGTAGGGCACTTTTAGAAATACCCTTCCTGAAAATAGAAAATTCAGAAATTGCACCAAGTTCCAACCTTATAATAATAATTACAATGTAACTCCTAAATCTAGCAATAAACATTTGCTGGATGAAGATATCTGAAATACATAATTCTAGATCGATCTAGCACCTAGATTTTTAATAGATCTAGATTAGATCTAGATCTATTTGAGAACCACATGCACTTGGAACGCCACCGACGGTGTATCAATCAAGTCATTTATTTAAATCAATTTAGAGGTGTAAGTTTCTGAAAAGTTACTCTGCAATTGATTTTTAGATAGTCTATGAATATACATTTAAACAATAATTAGTTATGTTGAATTAATTTTTAGTGAATTTTATTCCGACAATCAGTATTTATTTTTAAAAATATATTATTCGTTTAACCCACCCTGGATTGTGCATGCGTCCCATGTTGGATTGTTAAAGAAAGGAAGTAGTCATGGCCCGGAAGAGCAGAAGCGCCATCTAAACGGTGAAACTATAACTAGTACCTAAGATATTATTACAGTTAAACACACATTGTTCGTCGAATTTTTACAAGCTTTTATTTAACTCACTTCCTCGTCAGTCGACAGTCTGTCTGTCTAGACGGAAACGCAGGAGTGAAAATTCGGAAACTTCTACTTGACCGATACGATTCACAGTTGGCACGTGGGTCAAGACATGAAGACAATGCAATCTGAATCTAAATTTGACTTAATTGGATGCCTAATTAATTTTTTATGAATTAATTAAAATTTGGACCGAATTAGTAGGCATGTCTAGCCAACCACACCACACGCGTCATCACCTTCAATAGCTGCGCCATCACGTAATGGCTGCGTTCAAAAACCATTGCGCGCCTACTGAACGTGATGTTCAGTAGGCGCGCAATGGTTTTTAGTCATGTAACTCTATTGTAAATAAAACATGTAAAGTACTGAAAAAAAAATTCATAAAAAACGTTTTAATAACAAGCTTTTATGTAATGATGCACTAAAAAGTAGAAAATAAATTATAGACTACTATTTAAATAACTATAAAGAAAAGCGTGGGTGTCTTCCTTAACATTAGTAAAGGTATCCAATAGATACTAAAGTGACCCACGCTTTTCTTTATAGTTATTTAAATAGTAGTCTATAATTTATTTTCTACTTTTTAGTGCATCATTACATAAAAGCTTGTTATTAAAACGTTTTTTATGAATTATTTTTTTTAATTACAAATAGATCTAGTAGGCTACCCTTTGTTTATATATTGACTACAAGTATCTAATATCTACTGAAGAGATATCACTAATACTGAAAAGACTCGTGCAAATATTATTTTATAAACGAATGGTGTGGTGCTGCTGTATGGTTTCCTATCTGCAATCATCCAATAAAATATATCATTATTTTTTTACCTACTTTCTTCTTGGCCTTTTTCAACTTGCAGTGGAGAATAGACAATTTACAGCATTATTATATTTTTTGTCATCTGCGCCATGTGTTTCTTGGTTATCCCTCATTTTCTTGATCCTTGTGCATTTCTGTACTTCATGACATACGTTAACTGGTTTTGGCTATACTTGTTGCCGGTTTTCTTAAGGTTATGGCCTATCCAACTCTAATTTCTCTCCCTAATTTAATGTTGCAGATACAAATATTAGTGTAATATGCATTGTTATTAGTATACTCTTCAAAGGAGCGAACCGACCTTGGTTAAACAATTTTAAAACTAACAAAGGAATTCAGAAAAATTGCAAATGTTACACATTTTGCGTATCCTCAAATACTAATCCGCCTTCCAGGATGGAAAAAGCTGTTATTAGTTATAGATTAACTTTTCATTGTTATAGTACTTTAAATGAGGTATAGTTTTGGAATGATGCATATATATATATATATATATATATATATATATATATATATATATATATATATATTGCATTGCATTGTTATAAAACACTTCTTTTCATTTTCATAATTCTTACTTATTTATATTACAAAAAATTAGGCTTGATAACGTGAATTAGCCAGATATGTAATGGAACAATTCTAAAATTTTTATTACATAGCCTTCTTCGAAATAAAACCATACAACATAAAGGGCTCAGCCCCCCCCCCCGAAGAAAGTCTACCGCCCCCCCCCCCCAACGAAATGAAATTTATATAGAAAATATATACTTTTAACAGTGTCGCCCCCCCCCCCCCCCCGAAGAAAGTCTACCCCCCCCCGAAAATTTCAAGTGCCCCCCCCCCCCCCGGAGAAAAAAGTCTGGAAGAAACACTGCTTGTCAGCACTCTTATTAATGTTGAAAATGTTTTATTCATAAATAAATTGGTTAACTACTTAATAGAAAAGAAAATGTTTATAGTGTATAAGAAATATTCTGGTTCTTACGTAGAATTAATTAAATATCACTATTTTTAGCATTGCTACAATATATTTGGAATTTCATATAAGGGGGGTCATCCATAAATGACGTCACGCTTTTTTTGACGATTTTCATCCCCCCCTCCCCACCGTCACACGTCGTCACAAAAAGCCAGACCCCCCCCCTAAAATGACGTCACACATCAACCTACAACCCTTCTCAAAATTGCAGTTGAATTTTTTTTTTAAATCGATATTTTTCCAAAATCTTGTCTAAACTATTACAATTTATTAAAACAGTTATCTAAAACGTGAAATAACGTCTAAAATTCGTTTTCTAACTGATATATGTCAAAATAGAGTATTTTAATCAATTCCTATTATAATTTATTAAAACTGTTTTCTAAAACGCTAAATAACGTCTAAAATTCGTTTTCTAGCATTTCTTATCTACAAAGCAAAAGTGTGACGTCGCACCATCTGAACCCCCCTCCCCCTCATCACACATCGTCACAAGATTACCGACTACCCCCCCCCCCCTCTCCCCTACGATTGTGACGTCATTTATAGACGACCCCTAAGTTGTAACGGCTCATCTGATGGGGTTCGGGCGACTTCCTTAATTGACTTTTCTCCTTTAAAGCATATTTCTAACCCAATGCCGCCATTTCACACATTGTAGCGATATTGACCATAGTTTAAGTGTTATTCCTCCACCTCTTCAAATAATCATGATATATAATGTGCTTTTAACAACAATTTTTGTCCAAAATGGAATACACAAAAACGATGCTATTACGTCACACTTTTTTAACCCGACATCCATTTTTTTTACATCATTGCTTTTTTTTTTGTAAAAAAAAAAATAGGTGACGGCACCCAGTGATGGATTGCCTAGCTTTTAACTACCAGTTCGCACCTTGATGCACGCTAAATCACAACTGCAAGGATACTAAATGTCTATAAAAATATTATATTTTATAATTAACAAACGTAAATTGTTAAAAATACAAGAAAAGTAATCATTTTTTTCCCACATTGAAAAAGGTGCCGGTACGCGGTACCGGTGCGTAACACAAAAAAAAAAAGCACTGATGACGGATAATGGCAAACAAGAAAATGATTTTTCCTATTTATACAATCGAGTTGTTTTTCTATGCCTTTAATCTTCAGAAAATCGGCTTCGTGGTTGGATTGGTTGTGTGGCATAGTATAATATTATGATACATACGAATAATCTTCGTGTTGTACAATGTCAGTTTCTTATAGAATTCAATATTCTATTCATCGGAAAACTGAGCAAAATACTGACTATAGCAGGTAAGAGGTATTTTCAGAGGCGTAGCGACCCTTCCCGGCGACCCCCCCCCCTCAAGATTTTGATTGGCACCCCCCTCAAGATTTCTATTTGCACCCCCCCCCCCCTCAAACTTTCGATTTGGACCTCCCTCAAGATTTCGATTTGCACCCCCCCCCCCTAAAACTTTCGATGTGCACCCTCCTCAACCTTTCAATTTATTTTTCCAACCCATTTTGGCATCCCCTAAGGTCGGCGCCCGAGGACATATGTCCCCCCGCCCCCCCCCTCGCTACGCTACTGGGTATTTTATACGTTAAAATGTGGGTGGTCAAGAGTGTATGAATAGGGGTGTAGAGTTGGTGGTGGACATGGTGAGATTGGGAGGTGTAGCTAATATAATAATTGGCTAAGTCCTCGATATCACTAATGGTTTCGACGGAGACTTATGTTAACTAAAAGAACGCAGTTCCTAGAATTGCCACAACTGAAAAATAGTGCATTACTATTACCATGATTACCATCAGTATTTCTATCAGAAAATTGTCTTGCGGAGCAGGGGTTTAACTTTTCGATGGGGGGGGGGGCGGACACTAATTGAAGTATACATTTTGCATGTAAATTCTATTTCGCTCAAGGGCGGTAGATGTTCTTTGGGGGCGGTGCACTCCGGAGAGATGTCTGAAGAAACTCTAATTACTATCAATGTAACATTGATACATTCGACTACATAAGTCTTTTAGATATCAGGATATTATTTTAAGCAGATTAAATTCATTTACATCCGTAAAATATGCTAAATGTGGATCAAACTCACGCTGATCCACAGTAAAAATAAGACAACATTTGATTGGACAATGTTTCAACGTAATTGTAATTTGTCCAATGGTAACACTCTTTACAACGAAATTTATCTCCCCAGCCTCCATATTCCTCGTGCGCACGACTGTTAAATATCAGTATAACAAAGGCCTAGGGAACTTAAAAAGTAACAGGTATTTTTAAATTAATTAACAGTTTTAACGTATTTACATTTATTAAATACCATATAGACTCTAGATCTAGATCTATGTATGCATAAATAGTTAAACCCTTAATCTATAGATCTAGATTCTAGACTAGATCTAGTCTAGTAGTCGAGACTAATTCTAGAACATCTGAAGTTATTGCTAGACTCTAGAATCTAGATTTCTAGATCTAGAAAAAATCTAGAGTCTAGAATCTACATCTAGATCTAGATCTAGATTTATCTAGACTAGATCTAGATCAGGATCTAGAAACAAGATCTAGATCTAGAAATCTTAGGCATTTTGGTAAATATGTTTCTATTTAACACAATGATAAAATTTACATTCATAGAGTCTAGAATTCAAGAAGAGAATCTGCCATTTAATAAACTACAAAAATTATCATTCTAGATTCTAGAGTAAAGTTCCACGCGCGGTTAAAACCTGCGGTTAAAACCCGGGTGTGGCCATCGCCTGTTTATTGCTTCGTACAATATTTGTTTTGATGTTTTATACGAAACTACCGATATCTGGGTAATCTATCGTTTTGGGTACGTAAAATCGCCCGCGGCTATTAATGTACGAAAAAGTTACCTCATTGTCAAGGCTTTAGTAGAAGTATATTGTGATATATTTGTGTCAAATATTATTTATAGATAAATGAATAATAAACCTAAATCAATGGCTAAATATATCAATATATGCCAGAAATTAGCTTTAAACAGCAGTGTTTGCGAGCAAGATTTGCTATATAAACAGCAGCCATTTGTAAAATAGAGTGACTTCCGCCTGTCTCGCGCTATATCCGCTATAAAAAAAAACTTAAACAAGATGGCTGCTATAGTAAATGAGCATGGTTGCATCTGTTGGAAACATCGCTAGTCTTCATTTATTACTGAAAAGTTTTAATTCAATTGTTTAAAAACAGGTACATAAATGAAAGAAGGAAACATTTTTGTATTTTTCAAAACATAAATCCTCCTCAAAATGTGAAATAATTATTAAAATTTAAGGAGTCACCTGTTTTTCACATTACTAGTCGCGGGCGATTTTACGTACCCAAAACGATAGATTACCGATATCTGCTGTAAGCCTGTCCATTTCTAAATATTCTTTTGTTTTTCTCCTTCTGGAAGTCGAGTTTTTAAATTTTAAAGTTTCGAGGTATAATGTCGTAGGCAATTCTAGTTCCCCGTATGAAAAACACTAGGTCCCGGATGAGATGAATAAACCAACCAATCAAAGCTTTTTATAACTAGGTTAACTATAAATAGCTTCTACAATATGTGCGGGACCTGATAGGTGAATAGGGGTGGCCGCAGCTTGGGTAATGATTTGGGTGGTTTCACCTCGCTGCGTAACCAATGACTTGAGCTAGACTAGCCTAGTTCTAGATGCTCTACATTTCAAGCTAAGCCTAGAATCTGTATAATTTCTATTTTTTTCTGCTGTTTTAAATTATTTCGATCATCTACTTCTTCTAAATCTAGTTTGTGTCTCTACATACAAGCATATCTAAGCAAATGTTACGTTATGTCTTGTCAGTGGTTGTTACGTCCCTTTGTTATGATTATTATAGTTGCGTCCCTCGAGTCATCACTGGGTCAACTTTTAATGTCGTTGGCCTAATTAATTTAATTAACATGTTTTTAATTTGGTTTTGCAATCTATTAATTAATAATACAATCAACAACACGTTTAAAAGTGTAAAATATTTAATTTATTTTTTAAACTAGGATTAAAACGTATAAAACACTATCGTTACGCAAGCCGGTTCAGATGGCCGCAGGGAAAAAAAGAAGGGAAAAATATCGCAAGTAGCACGTCACTAAAACATGAATATCTCAAATTCAATGCGTAGGAATATAAAATGATTGATACATATTAAGAGTAGAAAGGCAGAGGAATAATATAGTACTTTGGGTTTGTTTCTGTGTTAAACGGTTACAAAATAGCGCCCGATGAAAGTCGGGAGTTCGCTATGTGTGACCGGTTGTGGAACTTCACTCTAGGCCCAGTAGTTTTTTTTTATATGAATTCAAGTGTTAGGTAAAACAGCTTATCATTGATTTATATTAAATCTAGATATATGTTCAAGTAAAGTTGCAAAATATTTAGTGTCCTTCTTTGAGTTTTTATAGGCCTAACATTGTTGTTATTAAACATATAGGCATAGGCCTAATGAATAATGTTAAACATGTTCATACTGATGCTAGAGAGTGTAGACAACAGGAATATGCAAGATAAAGATCAATTTAAAGGAAAATAATTTACCTAATTATTGTAATTATTAGGCCTAACTTAATTAATTAGGCTAAGCCCAATTAAGGTGTGTGGTGCAGTTCTACAATGATTGTCACAAGTCACTTTTCATACTGCATATCTATGTTGTTATTGATTTTATAATAGTTTTTCTCACTAAATCTAGAACTCACGTAATTATCAATTTACACATGACCACTGAATAATAGACATCCATATTTAATCCATTAGGCACTAACTTTGGAGTTTTTAGTTCGTTTTAAACTAAATTACTTAATTTAATATTTAGGCCTATTGTCAATCACTGCCATGTCCAACACATCTCTCCATGACAACTCTTCTTAAGCTTGAAGCTAAAGAAAACCACAAATCAGGTTAGACTTTTTAAGTGGCCATGCATAAGAGTTCCTCACTAGTGATCACCAAATAGTGGTCAAGTGGTTTTTTTTTTCTTAAAAAAAATGTGGTTGTCATTTTTCTGGCTGGTCTTATAAAAAACGGTTGACGATATTTGATTTATTTTTTTATAGACTGATAAAACTAATAATGCTTTACTATGGAAATCGATTTTGTAATATGGAAATCGATATTTAAAAAGTTCTAGTATTTTTTATGAAACTAACTTTTAAATTTAGCCTTCATTCTCCAACGCAAATTTTAAAATGCTTTTCTGGCATATATAGCCCTCATCTATAGCTTGTTGTTATAATGTGAAAGTCCCGCCATTTTGCGCGTGGTAAACATTTTAAAAACTAATTAGTAGAAGGTCTCTGGGATTTGTCAGAAAAATCGTCGGAAGTCAAGCGTCCGGTCCGGACGCCATATAGTTGTTAGCAACCGACCACGCCTCTAAGTTAGCGAGTAATACTATGATATAAAGATAAAACTTAGCACATAGATGCTTAAGGATGTTGGAAATAGATAGAAACTTACAAAAAGACAATCACATATAGTCTCATAACGCGAGTTGAATTACCTCCCTTGATCCGCTTTTTTATGACCACTTTGTTTTTTTCAACCGTGTCTCGGCACTGTTGCTAAAAATAGCATTTGTGCAATACCATACGGGTAACTCTGTTTGGCGTCTGCTACACGTGATAGATCGTTGAATGGCCGACAAGCTGATATAAAATTAGGCCGATGCTAGCCGGAATAAGATACGCATGCGCAATGGAGAGAAACTACGACTTGCATTCGCGGCGATGTTTTCGATGGTACTGCGCATGCGTGTGTTTACAACCGCAGAACCCTAATCACTAATCCTATCCCTAACCATAATCCTACCCCTAACCCTCATTCTAGCCATAGGTTACTGCGCATGCGCAGAGCTATCTTTTGCCGACTAAGTGGAGACGTTGGGGAGAAAAATCTTCTGAGTAGTCACTTCGATAAAATTATTGCGACCGGATGCGATTTTTCTGCAAGTTGAGCTAGATTTAGCAAAAGACAGCTATATTTGTGTAAAATATTATTATTTATACTTTCACTTACACAGATATTTTGATACCTGCAGTTCAGCCGTCCATTTATCTTTTAAAATGTATCTTTAGAATTTCTCTACCTTTTGGCAATCAGTCAGGAGCATTTGCGCACTAAACCCACCCCGTACGGCAGATCCGATTTTTTTTTTTTTTTTTTTTTTTTTTTTCCCCCAGTGAACTCGTACTGACCTCCCGCATAGCTAAGATAGTACATTGATACTGATGGGAAAGCCTTTAAATCCGTGTGATTGTCCGTGTGGTCAGCACTATTCACAGCCTCCTTTACTTTTTACCTTTAATTTCCCCAATGTTTACCAGGTAACCATCAGAAATGGGTGGACTCTAATTGAATTTTATTAAACAAACATTTTGATATAGATTTATAACATTCCAAACATCTGATCTGTAGAATTTACCTTTCTGCTTTCAAATGCGGTATTTTCCAATTGAAAATTCATCACAAAACATACAATAAATTATATAAATGGCATTTTATAAATTTATATAAACTATTTACTTTCACCTTGTAAAAAAATGTAGGTAATAGCAAACTGATTTCAATAGTAAGAAAGAATCATGTCTTTTCTTGCTTACTAGCTTTAAAACAAGTGAATTTGACTTTTTACCTGCGTTTTTTGGTAGCGTTTCTATATATTTTATTTGCAACACTTAAAAAATTATATTTAATCAACCAATTATGCTAAATTAATAAAATTGGTACTGTTGGATTGCATTTTTAAAGCTCTACAATTATATGCTATCCTTTGTTTAATTTGAAGAAAATTGAATTTATATGAGACTAACTATATAATGAAGTCAAAAGGGGTGGGACTGAAATTTTGCATCAAAGTTGGTTTCATTAAAAATAATAGAACTTTTAAAATATAAATCTCTATAGTACAAAGTTCATTTCCAAACTATAGCATTATTAGGTTTATCAGTCTATGAAAAAATAAATCAAATATTGTCAGTCATTTTGCCAAGAAAAATGACAACCAAATTTTTTTTTGAAGAAAAAAACCCACAATTAACACTATTTGGTCATCACTAGTGAGGAACTCTAGGTGCATGGCCACTTAAAAAGTCTATTCGGATTTGTGGTTTTCTTAAGCTTCAAACGTAAGAGTGGTTGTCATGGAGAGGTGTGTCGTGCATGGCAGTGAGTGACAATAAATATTAAGTTGTTAATTTAGTTTAAAACGAACTAAAAACTTCCAAATTAGTCCCTAATGGATTAAATATGGATGTCTATCTTTCAGTGGCCATGTTTAAATTGAAAATTGAGTACATTTTAGATTTAGTAAGAAAATCTAAAATTTATTTAATAGGAATTTAGAGTTAAACCTAAATTAGATCTAGAATATATCTACTGATCTAATTCTATGATGGTAAAAACACAAGATGAATACGTAAAGTAAATAATTAGCCCACTATTTGAGACTAATAAGGAGGCTGAGTGGTCACTGGTTTAGTTGGTAATAGAACAACTGAGCATTTAGACAAAAGACTGCATCGTAAAAGGGGCTGGTTGTTGAAGGGAAAGGGTCAAAATAAGGTCAAGAAGGCAGTGGTTGGTGAAAATGGAAAGAGGGGGGGGGAAATGATGTGACTTTTTAAAAAATGTTCGATAGCATGTAAGATACTAAAACAAGCAATTGAAGAATGTCTCAAATTCTATGTGTAAGACTACAAAATTCCTTGCTAGACTCTTCAAATACATGCTAAAATCATGAACATAAGTTTCGTTTTAGTTATATATTATTATTGTTTCTAATATAGGTTTAAATTGTAGGTTGGTTATTTTAAATGTCTTACAAATAGGCACAACCCAATTTAATTTTTAGATAAGTTATATATTTTTAATCTCTACAGAGCCAGAAAATGTCAGAACCAGATAAGTAAGTACATTGCTAATTAGCTTGTAAGCCTACACTTAAAGATTCTCATTTGTTGCCTTTTTTTAAACAATTGCAATTTCTTTTTCTATTCTGACACAAAAACTGCAAAGAGTTTTGTCTAGAATTCATATTAATTGAATGTTAATATAGTCAATATTTTTTTACATATACTTCTAAGTAAGCTACTTTTTTAACAGCCCTTCAAGTGATGCAGTTGAAGAAGTGGAAGAGGAAGATCATGCCGAAGAAATAGGTATTTATTTACCAATGAATCATTTTATTAATGATCAACAGGGTTTTTTTTTTTCTGCAGCTGTTTTTTTTTGTGATGACTGAAGGGATTTACATTAGATTGTAATTTATACATTTTTCCACTGGTAAAAAGCATTTTACCTAAAACCTTGATTTACATCCAAAGAATTTAAAGATCAGATTTCTCATGGAATTCTTTTTATAGGGGAAGGAGGTGATAGTCAGGCAATAGCAAATCAGTTGATGAAAAACCCTGGTGTCTTAGCAGCACTTCAAGATAAGCTGTGTTCTATTGTTGGTTCTCCGTCTGGTTATATTCAGAGGTAAGAAGACTTTTTTTTTTTAATATCATTATACTCTATAACACTTGATTGATAATGTCCCAATAATCTTTTTAGTTTACCCAAGGAGGTCAAACGACGTATCAAGGCTCTTAAAAAGCTACAGAATGAGGTTATTAATGTTGAAGCTGAATTTTATAAAGAGGTCAATGCCTTGGAATTGAAATATGCACCAAAGTACTCACAGTTGTTTGAAAAGGTATGAATAGGCAAACAATTTTATAAAAGAACTATCAGAGCGCTGTATTGGTGTGGATATTCCTTCATCGGAGAGCGCGTGTGGAAGCATAATTAATGGGTTTTTTTTCTATAAATCAGTGATCCGGTTAATCATATGAACAATAAATAAGTTATTAAACTTAACGTCAAAAGTAGTAGTATTGAAATCAATTTGAAGCTTAAGTTTCATTCAAGGGTGCCACTTGTCCCTGAATTATTTTTTTTTTCCACTCTGGATTTTAACACGATCTTTTTACAACTTTGCTTTCTGCCACTCTCATACATAAATGGTATGCCCACGATATAAATTAAATCCACAAGAAATTGGTAGAATCAGCAACATGAAGCGTGTTGTGATACAACCTTAATAAACATGAATAAATGCAAACTGTTTTTTATACTCGCTAATGTGCCCTTGGTGGTATTTTCCATAAAAATATAATTAATCTTTGTTGTTAGACCTTTTCAATCTACAATCGCATACTCAACCATACTGTATCTAAACATAAATCATTTGTTTCATTATATATACAGGCATGTCTACAGTTCCACCAAAAGTGGAATTGTTCCGCTTTTTTACAGAAAATCATGTCCAGTTCCGCTATCCCGTTGAAGTTTGTTCGGTTTTTTTTTTAAATAATAAAGAAAAGTAAAAATCAAATAAAAAAAAAGCAGGGAAAAGCGATTATCTCCCTTTGGCTTCCGTTTCCTAGTTTACTTACAATATTTACAAGTATCATCCAATACTAGATCTACTTACTAATAGATGATGTAGACAATCTAGCTCCTGAATGTTCTTTTTATTATTTGCAATTGAATTGTACATTAAAATTATGACTTAAATACATGTAGAGAGAAAAATACAACAAAATCATAACAAGCAAACTTGTAGATTTAAATCTACTGCTACTACTAGATTATACAGATCTATCTTGTAAGTTGTAGATCGTTGTAACTACTATTATGAAGTACGTTGAAAGAAGTAACTGGGACTTTTACTATGTAGAGATACTAGATCTATGGCTTAACTATAATGCAGAGGGAAAAACCAATAATGTTATGACAAATCTATGGTTTTTATAGTGGGAGAGGTCTCAGGTTACTAGTTAACTTTTAAAAAAAAATAAAAGCTGACATTAAGCAGTGTTTACTTAATGTAGCCTAGAGACTAGTTATATATAACTAGAAGCCTACTAATGTCATACTAATTTTTAATAATTTATTTTTGACTTAGTAAAGTAGCGTCAGTGTGTCTATGTTCCTCTTTTTTTGCTTCAAATTCCTCTTTTTAGGCATGACTTCCTACTTTTAGCTGACAGTGGTAGGCATGTCTGTATTTAATATATATTTTTTTTTGTTACTCCCTAAATTATACAGAGAAAAGAGATCTTAACTGCTAGTAGAGAGCCCACTGATGAGGAATGTGATTGGCCCAGTGAGGAAGAAGAAGATGATGAAAAGGATGAGGAAGGAAAAATAACTGTAGGTCATATGTTTACTTGCAACTATTATATAAGCAACATGATAAGAAGTGATCATTTTAATATTTTAAATCATCTATTGGTTATAGCTGCATTGCTAGCATTAATTTAAACAATTATTTGCGCCTACAATATCGACAATCTTTTTGTTCTCTATTTCTGGGCCCTGTATATTATTGTGCCAGGTATTACATTGAAAGATCAAATATTTTTGTTTAATAGTACCCCCTTTGACGAAAATTCATTTCCATTGGGGCATAAGGGAATGAGAATAGAAAAGTATGATTCATCTTAAAATGAAAATACTAGATAATTCTATATTTTAAAAAAATCTTGGTTTACTAAATAAAATGTATTGGTGTGCAAACTTGTTTGATGTGCCATATGGGTGCATTGACCTTCAATGTAGCCCGCTTCTCAACAGGGAGAACTAAAAGATAAGCTTTGTATTGAGGGTGCCAAAGAAGCAGGAGGGGATAGTGAGGAGAAAAAACAAGGTAGGTTTTAGTTTGGTTTACATCTTTTTAACACATGCAAAGTTACTACTTCTATGGTTTTGGTTGTAATTTAAAGATTTTAACGCCTAGATGATAAAATAGTTGTGCCCAAACAGTTGCAATTTTAGCTTCTGTAAAAATTAAGTTGTTAGCTAAAATTAGTGGGTATTTTTCCCTTTATCATGTGGTAATGTTCCGATCCTTTACATCATTTGGTTACAATTTCATCACTATTATGGGTCACTTCTCGATTACATGCGTCTTTGGTTACTCCTCCTTTACTATCAAATATTATGGTGGACCGAAGCTTGTCATGTATACTTTCATTGAAAGTCTATTGGTAGTTATATATTAAACTAAAATCTTTTTTACATAAACCATTACATAATTTACATAATTTATCCAATTATTACCAGGTATCAAAGACTATTACATTCTGATGATTTTAAAATCTTGAGTCTAAAAGAAGAATTACATTTTTTTAAATTTTAGTAGGAGGAAGTTATTTTGGTCATAAATATTGTAATGTTGATTGTGAAAAGGACTGAAGTCATTATAGAAAATCAATGTTTTTGTTACTTCAGGGGACAAGTATCCCTTTTCTTAGTATATTGACCATTTTTGGCATAGAACATTTTGCATTATTTGTCTACACCTGAGTTTTGCAATTTTGTTTTTAAAAACCCATAACATTACATTTTTTAGAGGATGTTAAAGGTATTCCCAGTTTTTGGTTAACAATATTCAAGAATGTAGATATGCTTTCTGAAATGGTACAGGTATGTTGATTGCTTCTTTTTCTATTTAAATACAATATTTAATGGTTTGTAAATAAAATAATGAATACAAGATCACTGTTTGTCATTTTATTTTGAAATCCTATCGCAGTACATGTTTATGCTGTGAATGCATCTTGATTTTTACCTGCTAACGCCGTGTTTTTTTTTTCTTTTCAGGAACATGATGAACCAATTTTGACACATTTACAAGACATCAAAGTTATTATACATGATAAAGACCCTGTAGTAAGTTTAAATCGTATGATAATTATCAACATTGTAAAATATGGAATTAAATATATGTAGGTACTACAAACTGCTGAACATTTTCAAATCTTATCGCATTAATTCTTAGCTGTGAAATAACTGACCCGTTTTTACCCCTGCTGCATTGTAACGCTCTGGCGAGAGAATTTCCGAAAATTTCAATAAACGCTAATCACAAAGTGATAACTAGGCTTTTAAAATGTTCAAACTATTTGCTAAATATAAATGAGATATACAATACATACACACAGGTATATATACACACTCACATGCATAAACACACTCACACGCATATATACACTCACACGCATATATATATATATATATATATGGGCATGTTTTATCCCCTGTATTTCTTTTTTTATGAGTAATTTGCTGCAAATGACAGGTAAAGAATTGGTCCTTACCATTAAACTGCACGATATTCATTTTGAAATTGTTGATCTAATTTTGAATTATTTTATCGATTATATGTATTTTAAAATCTGTTTTCTGTAATTACAATGCAATAACTTTTTTAACTTTGGCATAGTTTTAGTAATTTAAAAATTTTAAATGCAGACTTAAAGCAGTGTTGTGGTTATTAAAGTTTCACCCCCAGCTTATGTTATTAAACCTAGACCTTTAACTGCACAATTTATAACTTAAAATAGTTTCAAAAGTAAAAATATACAAATTTGTTAAAATACATCAACATATAATGAAAGAAGATAGAAAATTGATACACTGCTTCACTTTTGCTTTCAGGGTTTCACATTAGAATTTCATTTTGAGCCCAATGAATACTTTACAGACCCAGTACTAATTAAACATTATGAAATGCGCTATGAACCAGACCCTCAAGATCCATTTTCTTATGAGGGTCCAGAAATCATTAAGTGCACTGGGTAAGTCAAAATGATTTAGTTTTCAAGACTGGGTTAATAAGATTTGGTTGTGAGAATTGATTGATAGGCATTATCTTCAATACTTATATTTTTTCTATTAACATTATTAGGTGCAATATTAACTGGATCAAAGGGAAGAATGTCACTGTGAAACAGATAAAAAAGAAACAAAAACATAAAGGAAGAGGTTTAACAAGAACTGTTACAAAACAAGTTCAAGCAGATTCTTTCTTTAATTTCTTTAACCCACCTGCAGGTATTTTGAATATTTAATTTTGGAAATTTTGTTTCACCTAAAAGGTACTTAAAATAAATTTAAGACTTCCATTAAGAAAGCTTTCCACTATAAATTTCTCGTTTTGATTATCTTACAGTTCCTGAAGGTTCAGAGTCAGAGATGGTAAGTGAAAAAGAACTAAACAAGTATGATTATTTTCACTGTGATGACTAAAGTTTTTATAAGATTCCTTATTTAATAGTTTCCACTGTTTTTTTTTGTTTTTTTTTCAATTCCAGGATGAAGAAGTAGAGGCCTTATTGGGTGCTGATTTTGAGATTGGCCATTTTATAAGAGAGAGGATAGTGCCTAGGGCAGTTCTTTTTTTCACTGGAGAGGCCATAGACAATGATGATGTAAGTTAATTTTGCTTGAGACATTTCTTCAAAAACTTAATTAAAGCATATTTTTAATTAAAAAATTTTTCTTTTGGTTTCAGTATGAGGATGATGAAAATGAGGAGGTAGGCTATCTTAATTTTCAATGTTATAGTGGTAAACTTGTTGGGTGGGTAACATTTTACTTGTTTTGAATAATCAGTGACATCTTAAAGTACTATAAACATTCCTGTATTTTAAACTTTGTAAAAGTTTAATTAAAATCAATTATTTCAAATACTTTGTAAAAAGTGTGTATGCATAATTAGTTTTAAGAACCTAGCAAAACATAACCTCAGTAAAATTTCAAAAAAGCGTCTAACATTTATACAAAACTGAATTTTAGATTATTATTAATGTCAATGCTACTCAAAAAGAAAACTGACAAAAACAACTTAAAGGTTGTTTTGCTAACTAAAATTGAAGAAAATTAAAAACTCAAAAAAAAGTGCTAATGGTTTAAAATTTGGTACATTTTGATGATTTATCTACTTCCAGCATTTTAGAAATTTTAAACCTTCATTTTTTCATGTTTTTAGAAATGTGCGAGATTTTAGTCATTGTGTCTGCAGAGTAAACTCAGCAGGATTAGGTTTATACTCTGATCCCAAATTTGTTATTGTCTTTATTTGGAAATGTTTTTTTCAATTTTAAGGCTTAAAAATTTAACTTAATCATGTCATGGTTATAAAATTATCTGTGTCAATTTCAGAGCCCAAGCCCAGTGAGAACAAAATTTTAATTTAACATTTCAATCAGGAATTTTTTTGGGAAAGGGCATACAATTGTTATGGGGTTTGCTTATTTTTTAAAGAAAAAATTTAATTGGGGACATTAATTTTAATAAAGATTGTTGTTTTATTATTCATCATAAAATATTTCCTGTTTCATTTTTCAAATAAAATAATTAACAATTAAGCATTCAGTCATTTCTTACATTTTACTGTTGAAATATCATTCAAATGCCATGTTACGTTACATTTTCATTTTAGTACTGTTGTTTTAAGTTCAATTTGTTTTTAGCAACCTGTTCTGCACTAATACCATTGTTGTCTAATAAGACAACTATATTGAAACAATTTTATCTGCATCATACCAGATTTAAATATATAGTGGATCTTCTGGTAAACAAAGTGGTACTTATTTTTAATATTGCAGTATCAATCTTCATAGCCATTTATATAAATCACACATTTATTACACTTACGTTTATACATTCATTCACTAAACAAACTAGTTGAAGCCTACTCAATTCCTTTGTGTTTATCCTGTCAAATCTTAAATAATTGAAATTTTTGCTGTTTCTACTTTTATACTGAGTAGTTATTTTATATTAATGGAATATTTTTAACTCCTGGAACATATAGCCATATCATTTCTACAATTTAAGTCCTTTTTTTTTTTTAAATAAGGGTGAAGATGAAGAATATGATGAAGAAGCAGATGCAGATTTCAACCCTGATGTAAGTTCATTTCTATTTTAATTTCACTTTTGAGCTTCTATACATGTCTATCAGTAATACACTGGACCATTATGGGCCTTGTACCAAACGCATAACTTTGAATATTCTATTTAGTTTTCTCAAAGTCTGTTTCACATTAGAGAAAAAATATTTGTATCAAAGTATTATAAAGCAAGTTATACAATTCTGAAAGATGCATTTTGTACAAATTATCGCAATTAGTTTTAATGTTTATCAGAATATTCTTAGTTTAGTAATTTTATTTTACAAGAAGAAATTCACATAATTTTAAAATGGTATATATAGCATGAATCATTGTTATTGAGCATGGTTGAAAATTGTTTCGAATTTTTCTTACCTATTGGCTTAATATTTATTTTTACTGAAAATGTTTTCAGCCCATTCCATTAAGTTAATTCTTTCAGCCCAGTGTGCATACTTTTCAGTTTCCCTCCCCATATTCAACTACTCAGTCCTGTACTTCATGCTTACTTGTGATTACTAAGAAAAGTGAATAATAGAACATGTACTCAAATGGTGTAAATAGTTACATTGAGAAAAACCCTGCTAGATTTTTGTGGGCTACATCACTAAATATACTCTGGGCAAGATGAATGTGATCTTAAATGCTGGGCTGAGGGAATAGTTATGAAAAAGTTTGATGCAGTAACCTATTAATTAATATAACTAGCTGTAGGCCTACTAGAAATAAGAATATAAAATACTTCACCATGAATCTATATGTGAATGACTTAGTACAGAAATCTTGCCATTACTTGAATTTTAACCTGTCTTTGGTTCCACACTCATCAACTCATGTTAAATACATGTGTTAATAGTGCAGTTAATTAAACTGTTTCTTCCTACATGCACACCATACAAAAATATATGAAGGAATAATGAAATAATGGTAGAGCTAAGTGTTAGAATCAAATTGATTGTCCTAAGCTTACTTATTTTCTATCCATCCCACTACGTAACAATAAATTGCTGCATGATAATTAGTATTTAAAGAAAAACAATTTATAATTTTTTACTTGTGTATGTATGTCTGTAAACACGATAACTTGAGTACCATTACAGCTATGTTGATGAAATTTATATACAAGTATTATATCTAATTTGAAGTTCTGTATCAACTGTTTTTTACATAAGATGTTTTCTTTAGTCCATGTTAGTTTTCCTATTGCTTGTGTAACTTTTTATACTATTTAGTAGTTAATGTAAGTAAGTATTTAAAAATATTTGATATTACTTAGAGAGCAATTATTTTTTATTTATGGTTGTGTTCAACTCTTATGTTATTGAAATATCATTACTTGCATTTATGTAATCTGCTTTTATCTATAACTACTGCTAGTAATCTTTTTGACACTTACATGCCTGTATTTAATTTTTTTTTATAGGCATCAAACTAGTGGTTTCCAAGGATCTAAAATAAAATGGTAATAAATTACCATAGGTGATTGATCATTGTTCTGTGGCACTGTTTGTTTGAAACTGTGTCTTGCATGCACCCTAGTTTGAAAAGCCACTTTTATTTCCACTCTACAGTTTAATATTTGTTTTATTTTTAATTTGTACATCATTTAAGTCATCACTGTTGCAGTGGGCAGGTTTTACTAGCTGCTTTTACTTATTGCATTAATTTTTAATAGATTTTAGTTTTTATAACCCAAACAAAATTTAAACTTACATTTGCATGAAATTGTTCTAATCCTACTTAAATAAGTTACTCTTTTTAAAAGAAGCTGTTAAATTGCAGTAAAATATTGTATAGAACTTTTTTTCTTTACTGCCAAGCTTTACTTGGAGTCAACTACACCCTACTTGTAAAATTCTTTCCGATACTCATTCACACAGACTGGTATAATTTAAATTATCAGCTGATCAGATTTGGTTAATAACCAAATTCCACAGGATTTTAATATTAATTTTTTTAACACAAATTATTTTAGTAGTATGGTCTGTAGCCTACATATCACTAGTTATGATCAGGGTAGGTAAAGATTATGATTTCTCATGTAAACTATTTTATCAAGACCACACATTTTCTTTCCCTAGCTCCTTTTGCATCCTTAGTGTGTGCTTAAATATCCCATTTCTAGCTGGCCTCTTATGCATCCTTTTTTTTTTTTTTTGATATTTTATTATATTCCATACCTTTATAGCTCACTGTTGCCTTTGGTCTTTTCGTTAAGTAATGAAAAGAATAGTGTTGCACTAATCTAAAAAAAAACAAAAAAACTCAATATCTGGAATTAGCTTAGCATTGTTTTGTTGGACTGGTTTGCTTTTTTTGTCTGTTTATGGTGTATTTGTTAGATTTCTTTCTCCTCCCCCAGCCTGAAACTGTTTCTGGTGTGTTAATGTTAAACCCCAGAATACTTTTTCAAAATCTCTGGTTCATTGGAATATTATTGTATTCACAGATAGTTACCTTTTAAAAAAGGGTGCTTTTTCTTTTTGCAGATTTTTTTTTTAACAGAAAGGGTCACTAGTTCTATGTGAAACAGACTTTGTAACTGTTAAAATTTTATTAAGATTTATATGGTCTAAAGTACAATAACTGGTTATATATATATATTTTTTTTTTTTTACAGGCCCAAGGCAAACCTAATGAATGCAAACAGCAATAGAACTGTGAATGAATGGGCTACTAGTTTTAAAGAAAATTGTGATACTCAACCAAGACGAAACACAAACTTCACAATTACTTCAGACATAAAAGATGTCCAATGACTTGCTCCACTTTTTGTTTACTTCCAGATAAAATCTTTAAATTTACATAAAAACAATAGTTTGTTATTTTTATCATGTTGTCTGGTTTTTAAATTTGGTGCTGCTTTTTCATTGCATTGTTGCAAGCAAATACACTCTAAATATCTGTAGAACCTGTTATTAAAGTATATTTTCTGGAAATTAGAGTTCGTTTATTTCTTTTTCAACCCTAAGGCAATTAGGTGCCTGGTACTGGACTAGCTTTGCCAAATACGCCTGATTACTGTGTCGGGGCAAACCGAGCAAGTTATAATGCATTTGAATATATAAATTTAACGCTTGTCAGATGTTTTTTTTTTTTTTTTTAAAGCTGCTGTTGCTGTCACATAGAAAAAATATAGTGGATACCCTGTACACTCTTACATAGTTAACGAAATGAAGCTTGTGGTTTTTAAACAATTTTCCACTAAAAAGGTCCATGTTTGGGGGTTTGTAACTAATAGATAATACTTTTTTTTTTCCAAACTTAAAAATAAGTATCATTAATATATTTTAAATGGTCTTATCACTTTTTAAGTAATAGTAATAGTGTACACAAAAAAATAGGTTTTCTGATGAAAGCTAACTACTTGTGATAAGGATTTCACGGTGAACAACTTAGAAGTTTAATAACCTCATACCTATAATATGTTTAATCGGAAGAGTGCAGGGGTTCACAATCAAACCTGCACCTAACATAATTATGCCTGTAGATATGACTAGAATCTAGATCTAAAAAATACAGAATAATAACCAATAATATAATGAACAGTTAAATGGTCTGTGTCCTATAGACTACTTATTTGCTACCCAATGGTGACTAGGAATAATAGTGCAAGGGTAGTATTGCTGGTCGAAATTGTCACTTGCGTTTTAAAATAGAAAATGTTATAGACCTTCAAATACTTCTATATCCATTTTTAAACAGCTGGTTCTACATATGTGATAGGGCTACACCCAAGTACACTTACTTATTATGTTATTTATTATACAGCACACTTAAGTAATATGTATGTCAATTGGACGAAGAAAAAAAAACGTCGCCCAAATATAGTAACTTTTCATTTCATATTTTGTATAATAAAAAGGGCTCGTATAGTAATAATGCTAGCGCAATTGAAGACCTTAGTGCTAAAAGTACTTAAGTCACAAAAACAACATTTTGAGAAAAATGAGTTCAAAGATTAAAATTTCCTAAGAAACATTACGTTTTTATATTATTTGTTTGTTTGGAAGAGCAAATTAAATAAATTCTTCAGTATCACTATTTGTTTATAAGTTAAAGTTAAACTAGAGGAATAACGATCAATGCTTGGTTTGATTTTCACAAAAATGTGACTTAAGTACTTTTAGCACTGGGCTCTTCAATTAAAAAGTAAGTTTTAAACTGTAATTCTGCCTAATTTTGTAGTTGTTGATATTAGAAATTACACATCTCATTTATCGATTGAATACTATCCAAGTATCAACGTAGGCCCTATTTCTTAAAGAATACCCGTAAAATGTGCTAAATTGAATAGCTTTTAGTGAAATTTTAAAAATGAATCTGACTAAATATTCTAAATGTTTAAAAAACAACTAAGCAATTGGAAAATTAATATGCGATTCTGACATCGTATAAATTTGTTATTAGCATTTTTTTTTCTAAAATAATTTCTGAGCATGGCTGCAGAAAATGGCCGTTTTCTTCGTTAACAATGCACCACACCACAAAGCTTTTCTAATTGATGATAGCAAAAGATTTACAGTACATGCTTGGTAGTTCAGTAAAAAATAATTAAAGCATGTAGTTACTTAATAAACAAGTTTGTCAGTCAACTTTTTATAGTTTATTCCTTCATTATATTCTATTTATTAAGATTTAACTCCGTTCAATGATTATTTAATACGAGCTGACCTGCGACGTAGCGTACGCCGCTATTTAGTTTAATACATATTTGTCAGTAATTCATAATTTTTAAAATTCGACACTACCAATGCTGCGACTGAAAATAGTTGCTTTAAAACACTATCAGTAGCTAGTGAAGGCCAATTATCCTCACCCTCATTTTCCACTCCCCCCCCCCCCCCCTCCGCGAAAGCAGCCGTCTCTGACGACAGTTTACAGGCGACAATGAAAAGAGCAAGCAGAGCATGTTATTATCTCCCCTTAGTTTTAAATAGTTTAAAAACTAAATTATCTGCCCCTAGTAGCCGTCACTACGATTGAAAACAGCTCATCAGACTGGCGGGGGTGGTAGTGATATAGTCTGTTGAGCTTACGTCTTGGTGTCTCGCATGGTCCCAATGAAGAGAATTATATATATAGATTCCACTTTTCAGTAATTCATTTTTTTTTTTAAATTCAACGCTACCAATGCTGCGACTGAAAATATTTTGCTTATATTTTTGATTATTCTCCCCCCCCCCCCTCGTGAAAGCAGCCGTCCGTGACGACAATGAAAAGATTAAGCATAAGTTATAATTACCTCCTCTTAGTTTCAAATTTTTTAAAAACTGATTTATCTGCCCCTAATAGCCGTCACTTCTATTGTAAACATTCGGGGTGAACTACAGCTCACCTGACAGGGGGGGATGAGGGTGGTGGCTAAGCTGCGTGGTGTTTTCTATGGTCTCCATGAAGAGAATTATATATATCTATAGATTTTCCATGTAATTTTACAGCTTTGTCCCTTCACTTTGTAGCGGAGCCTAATTTTATTTTTGTTGAACAAATATCTTTGTCTAATAATACTCTTCAGCGGCTTATAGCAGACATGTCCGTGGATGTTAAGCTTTTACCCTTGTTTGCTTTTCAAGTTGATTAATCAACAGACGTGATTTCGTGTTAGCAGTTGCTTGTCTATATGATATAAAATGATTCAGATGAAAGCAAAGAAAAGTTGCTATTTTGTGAAGATATGGAGAAAATAAATACGTTTTTTTTTTAACTGAATGATTATCAGGGGAAAACGGCTGTGGGCTTTGTACGGATGGTTTGTTAAATATCAATTATTCTTAATAACTTAATATTTAAAACCCTTCACTACCATACTGGAGATCTAAGAAAGAATTAAGTATCCACTTGAGTTCTTTTGCATAGCACCTTTTAGGAATCATTTTGTCGTACTTAATTGATCTGTAAAATGGTTCCCACAATTATCAATAAGACAACCCAGGTTTTATCTTTCTTACTGTTGGCATAGCATTAAACATACATAACTGATACATCTAAACTATACACTTGAAATTATGCTGGTATGGAAACCCTAAATATTTAGCAGCATTTTGAAACATACCAGTAATGATGTTAACTAAGCTGTCTCACTGACTAGGTCATCTACATATACTCATTTCAAGCTATACAAAAAAACAAGGATGACAAATGTACTCAAAACACATTCGTGCATGGTTTGGGAGGAATTTATGGAATTAAAGCTAAAAAGAACCAAACAAAGCTTGAACTAATTGTTACTGCATTTAATTTATTTTTAACTCATTGCTTGATACTTCACATGAGCATTCCTAGCCACACAATAGCGAAGTAAATAAATAAACCAGTATAAGAAAAGGCATTTTATGTTGCCACTCCCAACTCTCAAACCAGCATCCATCATTCGCTAGAGGTTTAAAGGCTATTTTATTGTGTGTGCATGTGCTAAGTCATTAATTAGCCGACAGCTATGACCTCATTTTAGCCATAGGAGTCTAATAATACATTTGTATACTGATATCTGAGCCTCCTCAGTTTTTACAGTACGTTTTTTAAAGATTTCATCACAGACAAAAAAACATGGTAATAATATTAGTAGAATAGCCACTTTGTGGAATTAAGAGTAATATAAGGTCTAGTAGTTTTATATGTATTTCTAATGATTGTAATTTTCTTAAAATTATGAAGAAATAATTTATATTTGAGCTACCATTTTGTAATTTTCATTTTGAAGATGCAAGACTAGGGAAATACTTTATATTTAAAGAACATTTCAGTGTATCATTACACTCTTAATTAAAATCATTATTCTTCATTCAGAGAATAAATTACTTTTAAAGTTTTATTTATAAAAATTGCAAAATAGGGATTGGTTATAAAACCATTTATAGCATAGTAGGGAGTTTTAAATTTTAATTAAAATTTGTAAATAGAGAAACACACTAACAATATTAATGTTGTCCATTAGCTATTGACTATCTCATCCCATTACAGAAGTTAGAGATAAAGAGAATTAATGAGACCCAATCTATTTTTTAACTAAATAAACTCTATAAGTGAGGTGGGTGTCATGGATAATCTCAGGAATTAAAATAATGGCATACTCCCCTAAGTAAAACTTTCACAAAAAAGGTTACTGACTAAATTATGGGATGTAAAATCTGAAATATTTTAAAATGGTAAGACAGGGAATTAAAAAAAAAGACGCCTGAAACACTAACTGATAACCTAAACATTATTTTTGATATATATATATATGTATAGTTTGCAGAACTGTTAAGGTTTGCAGCTTCTATCTTGCCAAGAATAGTCTGTGATTTCTACTGGAGAACTGAAATGCAAAAGTGAAGTTTAAGACCACAACTGCAAATGTACAGACATACTTAGATTAAAACAAAACTTAATTGGTTGTATAAAAATCATCAAATAAAGAAAATGATAGCAAATTCAGCTATTGATTTACAACATTCAAACTTTGAAATGTCTGTTGTAACAATTTGTCAAAGAGAGTTACAGAACAAATGTTTCTACCTTCTGCCATCTGATGAGTGTCTGTAGTTTGTTGATTGCTAAGACCTGCTGTTCTGAAGCCTGGAGGAGGATTGTGAGTGTGAGGGGGCCAGCCCCCTGCTCCAGAAAGGGGAAACTGTTGGACAAATGGCAACCTATGAGTTGGGCCATCAGATTCTGTTAACTGTTGAAGTGATTTAAGCCAATGTGGGGTACTGTCTTGGAACAGATCTGTTTTGTTAAGAAAAAGTTTATGTTTAACCATACACTTAAAATAAAATAATTAAGTTGCCAAATTCATTAGTACTAACAGCAAACATCTCATATAAATAATTTCTTATATTTTCCCCAGTTTGACAACTAGTATTTAACATATTTTAAAAAATACCTTACTCACTAGTAATTATAATTTCTACTTATTCAAACAGTTATTAAATACTAGAACAGGGGTCTCCAAACTACGGCCCGCGGACCGGATGCAGCCTGCGAGGTCCTCTCATCCGGCCCGCAGAGATCTATTTGTCCACGGAAAAAACGTTTGTTGGTGATGGCTGAGGAACTTTACCCAGAAAAATCAAAGACATTTCTGGTAGAAACTGGCACCCGAACTGAAATTTGATAGTTAATGTGGCCCTCGGACTGAAAAGTTTCGAGACCCCTGTACTAGAACAAAACATGTTTATGTTTAAAGAATACACACTTGCAGATTCCGTAAACTGACTGGTGCTTACTATTGCTGGATCATTCCATGGAGATGAATCTGGAGAGCTGGACAGTGGCCAACCTAAATAAAATTGATAGTCCAGGATTTTATCCTATTTTAAGATTTAAATACATCTAACTTTTTGTATTTTAATAACAGTCACTTGGAGGTTTTTAATTAATACAATTTTCATTACACTTAAAATTATTACAATAAATTACTTGCTTTATCTATGAAAACTATAGCATTGAAGTTTTAAAAAAATAAAAAGGGACAAAAAATGCATATATGTCTTAATAACAAGTTTTTGTGAATATAAATATAATAACGAATTACTACAACTAAGATGAATTGAAAAGAGTGGGTCACTATATTATGTATTGAATAACATTAAAGAATTTTAGAATTGACCCATGTTTTATTTTTAGTGTCAAGTTTGAAACAAATGTAGTTATCTAAAATAGCAGTTCAATATTACATATTTAAAGAAAATAATTTATTTTCTCCATTTTAGAGCATTATTAAACAGAAGCTTTTCATGTATTTTCCCCCCTGTGCTTTCTTAATACAATAGATTTGCATGCCCAAAAACCATTGCGCACCAAATGATCATGAAAATTGTCTGTATAATAACATGGTAAATAGTATTTTATGTAGGAAATTTTAATACATTAAAAAAAAAAAGTTAATGTCAGATGGCATTGTCATCAGATCTTGACCTAAGTGCCAAGTTTCAGAAAAGTGGTCTGTTCGAAATGGTAGAAATTTCGCTCTGCAGTTTTGATCCATGACGGAGGACAAAAGACAGAGGAAGGAAATTAAAGCTTGTAAAAAGAACACTTAAAAATATACTGTTTCCCCAGATTTATTGTGGCAGTCATACAGTATAACTGTATAAACTTATTATGACCAGAAATTAAGCTTTTGGCAAACAGAATATACAATATATATTATGCTATTACCAAATTGAGTATTTAGGCACACATTTTTCTATCTAAACAGGAATTTCACAGGACCAATTTTAAACATTCAAATGAAAACAAAAAGTATTAAATAGATACTATTGTTGTAAAATATACAAAAACATTACTTCACTGATAAATGTTTTTTTACAGAACTACCAGCTATGGACTACCCCTTTACCAGTATAATCTGTTTTGTGGCTTATTCAGATAAAGATACGCTTTTCAGATTAAGCTACACAATATTTTTATAATGCTAATTATTTGTGGTTGCAAAAATATAAAACTGAACTTACTTTTATTTAAATGCTGACTCTGTTGTGAAAAGTGCATGGAGGTAGGAACCTGTTGCTGCTGAGCTTGTTGCTGGTGAGGAAAAGAACCAAAGCTGATGTTTATATTTGGCAGCATGGATCGAAGCTGTTCTTGCATGTCTTTCATACTGTATAAATCACGCTGGGGACAAAATGGAAAATTCATTAAGTGAAAAATCCATCATTTCACTGGCTTTAAAGCCAAGGTGTTGGAAACAATTTTGAAGTAGAGTACATTTTTATTGCAATGTTAATAACATTTGCCCATTTTTCAATAAATGGAAGTTTAAATTATTTATATATGGAAACAAGGCCTAATGTCCAAAATTTTTTGATGGAATTTAGCCTTTTGTATGAATGCAGAATAACACAGAGCATATTGAAAATCAAGCAGTAGTTTTATCAATTTATTTAAGGATGCACACTTTCACTATTAAAAAATGAACTTACTGCAGGTGGCTGCTGCTGTTGATGCTGCTGTGTGTGAAGGTCAATGGGCAAATTATGAAAACTATGAAGAGGAGCAAATCTCTGGTGTGTGTTTATAGGAAACTGGGGTAGGAGATCAAGCATTTTTGAGTTTGCCATATCTGCCATAATAGAAAAACAATGCATTTAGAAACACTTGGCAAAGTAATGATAAATTCATCTCAGCATTGTAAATGATTAATTCATCCTTTTCTATTGCTATAGATCCACTCTAGTTGCTTGTGCAAGTTGCTAAAGTAATAACAAAGATAATTTTTGAAAATGCATACATATATTTATACTTCAGCATCATAGCTATTTAATTTGACATTAATAAAGGTTTAAAATGGCCTAACTCACCATGTCTAAAAAATTGCTGCTGTTGCAGTTGCTGTTGTTGCTGTTGTATTTGTGAGATAGAAAAACCTGGTGGCAGGCTCCTGAGAAGAGTATTGTTTTGATGGGGAGATTGTGGCATAGGGTGTGGAGGGTAGCTATTTTGTGGTGGCGAACCTAGTCGATTCTGTTGGTGAAGTGAAAGATGATAATGTTGTTGCATTCCATTTTCTTTTTCAATCAAATCAGCTAGACCTTTGAATGATTCTGCACATGGGTCAAAGCCTAAAAAAAACAAAAAACAGTGCACTTTTAAAAATTGAAAAATTAAACAAGGAATATCTTTGACAACACAACTATCTATATACAGGCTTCGTATAAGATTTTGAAAATAAAATTCCAGATTATTTTTGTAAAAATTCCAGATATTGTGTTAGCGACTAATTAATAAAATGATGCAACTTGTGTACCCTCATTATAAGTACAGTGTGTTTGATTTCACTAAACTGTGCCAGGCTACGATTTTAAAGAAGACGATAACATGGTACAATCCCCGGACTGAATGTGTATTACAGTATACATACAGACACATTCATATAACCAACCAAAAACCCTACTCTCACAACTGGTGGATCTTCTTCACCTCCACCTTCAGATACAGTATGATGACAATTATTTTAGGCAATTGCTTCAGATACAGTATGATGACAATTATTTTAGGCAATTGAGCTAATGTTTACATTGAACTTTTTCTAACCAAATTTACAGTAAATGACCTTTGTAATGGTGCCTACCCCACTACCCAACTTTAAATTATTAAAATAATTAACATTATGAAACTATTGTTTACAACACTAAACTTATGTAATTAGTTAACGATCTGAGTGGATTGTTTTCAATTAAACAATTACTAAAATAGCAGTCCTATCAGTTAGGCATAATATTGAAAGTTAATTTACTCAAAAAGAATAATAATAAAGTAATCTACTAATTTAGGTCTGCTGTTGTTGAGTAACCTTGACTTATTTATCCTAGATCTAAGAGGAGGAAATTCACTCAAGTATAGCCTTTTTGTTAGTTGGAAAAGTATGGACAAGTTATGTTTATAAAACTAGCTTCTAGACTTTTAAAAAAATCCTGCTAAAAGCTTGCTATTCTTTAGTCTGAAATTCGCTTTTCTTAATTCCAGACTTTTTAAGACTGCGTACGTATGCTGTGGATTTACTACTAATTACTTCAATGTAGTATAATAGAAAAATAAATAAAAAGGACATAAAGTAGTACATGATAAACTATACCTAGATCATCTTCTGGTGGTACTTCTTTATTCTTAAAACTAAAGGCAGCTACCCAGTCTGTACTGGAGGATACTGGAAGAGTATCAGCCATTTCTTGATTGGCTAGCGTTACATTTGGCATTTCTGTAAAATAAAAATAATCCAAATATGCTTTAACCATATATGATGTTAAATAAATTATTCATTTTTTAATAAACAGAAAAAATAAGCACCATGAAAAAGAAATTAAACTGATTTTTGCATTGAAGTAAGGATAATGTATTGCATGCAGAATAAACATTTTTATGACAGAAGTGGTCAGACCATATACAAACATTTTGGATAATCCTTACTACATTTTAGCAGTTGAACAATTTTTAAATTGCAAATTCTCCCTTCTAAAGAGATTTTATTTCACAATTTCTGTATAATGAACATGTAATTAATGAAAACTGTCATTTTCAACATTAAACTAAATTTAACTGTCATTAATCTATTTGTATTCGTCTTTTAATATTACTAAAATATTGTTCATTTTTACTAAGCCCAGGTAATTGGTTAGGGAGTAGCTAACATTAACAGCTTAAAAACTGAAACTAAATAAGCCTGTACCAACAACACAACCAATATTTGAGTTAAAAAGGCATGGCTTGGTAAAGGTGAACAGTAACATTTTAAAAACACTTCCTTTAAATAAAATGTGCAACTCAAAAAAACAATATCAAATTCAGAAAAGTCACATCCCTAGAAAATCAGTGCTATCAAATGTTAAATATCAAGGAAAGAAAATTCTGACAGATGATTTAACAACTAAAAAAAAACATAATAAAATGGCTTAAGGTTCTTGCTACTTGAGTAACCTAAAGGTGTAATTGTAAGATGTCTTGATTTTAAATAAATTGGAAAGTGTATTACCAAAAAAAGAAAGACCTTGGGAACTGTGAGGCTCTGATATGCCTGGTCTTCTATTTGACCCAATAGCACCAACCATAGCACTAGTATTAACTTCTGCCTGCTGCATTGGCTGTAACAGTAAAAAAAAAAAAAACAACTACACATATCTTAATACTATAGGCAGCTAATTGTTTAAAAGCATGTTTTGCTGCCCTAAAATTTAAACATGGAAAATACAAGTTAAAATGATTTAGTAGCCAAAAATGTTTGCATACTTGTTAGAATAAAAGTTATACCTGCATCTGAGTACTACTCTGTATTGTAATTGCTGATGGTGGATGAGCATTGTTTGTAGAAGAACCAGTAGCTATCCCCCCAACCCTAGGTGATAATGGTAACTGCTGACTTGTATTAGGTGTTGGCAGTGGAAGACCTCTGAAAGTAGGCTGGTCATTTTGAGGTGATGTAGAATTTTTTTCAATATCCCCAGGTGGTGAAGAAGAAGGGGATCTATTTCCACTTCCAGAATTTATTTGACTTAAAAACAAATTGTACAAATAAATGATAGACTAAAAAAGCACATAGAAAAAAAATATTAATAAAAAATAGCTTACTTTGATAGAAAAAAAATGAATAATAAAAAATAGCGCACTTTGATATATGATTTTCATCTGCACCATTGACAGAGTTGCTCATTCTCAGACGCCCATTGCCAACTGTGCGACTACTTCCACTACCCCCACCACTTCCTGGAGGTGTATTAGTTCTATGCTGAGGTTTATTACTTTGACCCTAGAACATAAAATTGAAAAAAATATTAGTCAAGCTTTAAAGCACACAATAAATTGTATTCAGACTATTAATAACAAAATTAACTCACTTGTGTCCTGGTGTTGGATGAAGATAGATCCAATTTTGTTCCATTAACAGGTGCAGGTGAACCTGTACCATCTAAAAGTGGCCAACCAGAGTTAGAATTATTAAAGTGAGTATGCCCATTCGTAGCTCCACCAACAGTATGAGTTAATATTGGATTGGGTAAAAGTGGCCCAGAATTGGAAAGGGTATGTTTTATATCACCCGTCATATCCATTAAGGATGGTATAACTTCAGAATTCTCTATAGCTTGTGGTGAAACAGACTTTTTTCTGAAATAAAAAAAGTCAATTATTGTTAAAACACATCTTTTTATATAGCAAAAATAGTATGAATTTATGACATCACATGAGGAAAAAAACTTACGTCTTATTATTTACTATATGATGATTATTAGCTGAATTTTGAGCATTTAAAAACTGTTCTATCAGCATTTGTTCATACTCTTGATGTTTTCTGAAAGAACAAATGGTTTTTTAATATAAAATTAAAAAAACAAAACAACAACAAACAACTGAAAATGAAATAAGAAACAACATACCCAGCTTGCATTTCATCTTTTGTAAAACTAGCAGCTTCCTCTCCTAATTCATGCAAGTACATACAATCCTATAAGAAGAAAATTGCAAATAAAATTGTTACCCATTTGCATTTACACATTAACTTAAAATAAATGGAAAAGACTTACATTTTTTTGACAATGCGACCCTTTTAAAAAATGACTGCAGTATTTAGTGGTGCCTAAAGATGTTTTCAACGTACGTCCCTCTACGTGAACATTGTTGACTGTTAAAATGGCTCGAAGAGCATCTTCCGGTTTCACATAAGTAACATAGGCACTAGCGCTTGGACCCTATATTTAAAAAAAACATAATTTAAACCATAAACTATGGGAAACTGCATTCCTGTGAATAAAACTGATACAAACCACATAATCCAAGGAAAACTCAGAGAATAAAAGTGATAACTCTTATTGCAGATGAATGTGACTTAAAAAAAAGTTTTAAAATGTCACACACCTGTGAGCCAGCATAGGAAGTGCTCTGATTTATCACCACTTTATGTATTTTCCCAAACTTTCCAAAATATTCATGTTTCTTAAGCACCTCTGGATCTGCTAAACGAGGAGAAAGACCTACAACAAACACCAAGTTCCTTTGCACGACTCTGGCAGAGCAAACAAATATTTGCAAATAATAAAAAAGGTGTGACTAAACCAGCTAGCATGTACCTAATAATCTTTAAAAAAAAACTAAAACTATTAGCTCTCAATAGAGAATACCAAAGTGTAATAGTTACCTGACATTAGCTAGGTGCTTTCTATTTTCTGCAGCCTTCTGTTTTCTTTGAACATCTTTTTGCTTCCTCTCTTTTTTGATGTTTTGCAACCTTCAAAAGAACAATGTTTAAGTATCTAAACATCTATTTATTTCAAACAATCATTGAAAAATTTTTTTTACACAGAATACCCTAAAAACTTACTCATCCTCTGTTAAAGGTTTGAACTCTGCAGGGTCCTCTGGGTATTGCTTCCTACAGGCTGGGCATAATCCATTTTCATCTGTTCTTATTCTGTGCCAGCAAAATCGACATATCTAGAAACATTTAAATCAAGATTTAAGAATTTCAATTGTTATGCACTAACCTAATGCAATATACCCAGATAAATAAGTATACTCAAATTTCATCATTTTCAATTTACCTGATAGCCACAAGTGCATGGAAAAAAGCTGTGATCGTCAATTTCTAGTGCTTCCATGCACAAAGGACACTGGTAAAGTAAATGTTTGTTATTAATATTGTTCATATGAATAAAACTGTAGCACACAAAAACTAAGTTCATTTATTTTATAGAAAATCTTATAGAAATGTACATACCTCTGCTGGCTCATCAGACATGATTCTTCAGCAAGTAGAAAGCAACAAATTACGAATTACTATTTAGACAAAGAAAATTCTTTAAGAAAATGAAAATTAAATTATAATTATTAATACATAACATTCCAATCTGATCATCATAATGGAATATAATTGTCTCAATTGTCAACTATCATGAGGCAACCACAAGAAAATATACCAAATCAATTAATTGTATGTACAATGCAGGGTAAGATTGCATTTTTTTTTAGCTATCTTGCACAGATAAAGCTTATTGCCAAATGCCATTAACATTTTAATGCTGTATAAATTAATGAAGGTTATGGATAACTTGAATGACAGTTTTATGTATTCTCCCAAACACTGTCTAACAAAAGATTTTTCTTAAATGTATTTTTTCATTGTTGGTAGTAAAGTACTATATTGTAATATCACAAGTTTTGGGCTATGATTAGGGTTGACATATGTTTTAAAAGACAAGTTAGTTGTTGCCAACAAACATCCGATAGCCATTTTTCATTTTTAAATTAAGAGGGTCCATTTTTTTCAAATGATAGATCAAACTGTAGTGTAAAAACATTATGTTCCCTTTAGCCTACATTATTGTAATTGTTATGGCTTGGGTCAAGATATTTTGCCTATAATAAAATATAATAGACACATCCACTAAAAATTGTTTCCATTCAATCTTATTGCAACCATAATAGAAGAGTATAAATATACAGATGTTACTACCTTGATTAAGAGTACCAAAAAGCCTTGATTTGAATTTGTTTGAAGACTATTTGACATTATCTTTTTAAACAGTGGTTTTTAAAAAGTAGGCTAAATTAAATTAAATTCTACTAAGAACATGATGATGGCAGTGTTTTCCATCCAGAGCCCTATGCTGCTAAAATAAGGGCTAGCATTATGATCAAAGTGAGCAGTCGGATAGGACTGTAAAAAACAACATTCTTTGGATTTGCCCTGACTCTACTGCTGGCATATTAAAAAGCAGTTCTACATAGAGATCTAAACAATTTAGTTAAGATACAATAGGCCTAAGTAGTTCATTTCTAGATCTCTAACTAAAATGGACTTGAATTATTGCTTGAATCACTGGACTGGGCCTCTCAACTAGTCCTGCACTGTACACACTGCTTAACCACCTACAAAACAGTTGTCTTATAGATCTAGATATCTAGATAGGATTAATTGAGTAAATTAGATCTGATCTACTTATCTATAATCTAGAAATACAGATATGATAATGCCCAACTGATGAATCAGGATTGTTTGATCAGAAGCTGAATCTATATCCTAATCCTAGGTCTATTCAGAAGCATACAATTACAAATTGAAAATTGATTCAATGGCTACAGACTACAGAGATTAATAAAACATCTTTATTCTCCAGCTATTCTTTGTTAATTTTTGCGTATGGTGAATTAAATAGTTTTGATAAGGCCGATAGTTCATGGATTTAGATATCTAGATTGATATCTAGATCTATCTAGTCTAGATCTTATGTTTACGAATCAAATTTTTGATTATTTTTATTATGAATGTAAACTTTTTTCTGCTTCATTTTGGACTTCCATCATTAAAAATTACCTTTTTCAAGCCAAGGACAGTGTATCAGAGGAGGAATATTATTTATGCCGTTAATTATTTACAATCAATGCCAGAATGTAGATGATGATATGTGAGTTTTTGTATTATAAAACAAACCTCTAAAAATAATATAACCACTTCAACTCACTTAGAAAATATTTTTCTCAAGCTTTGCTTATTGAGCTCTCAACGACGACACAATTGTCAGTGCGCATGCGTTAATTCATCGATACCCGGATGAAAATGAGGTAATCTCGCGTGAAATGCTGTGAAAAAGTTTACAAACTTTCCGGAAAGCAACTTTTGCTTTCTGTTCAGTTCTGACCTACAGTCTCGAAGATTTCTAGACTAGATCTAGATCTAGATCTACTGATCTAGTGTTTTTAAAATAATAAAAGATCTAGAATCTAGATCCTAATTAGCACAGGATTTATTATGTCCTTTAAACGTGAAGGGGATGACGTTAATCTTTTGAGTATATTAAGAGTAAGTGCTGGATCAATTAAATAATTAATAATATCTTATTATTAAGTTATTATCTAGATCTAGATCTAGACTCTAGATCTAGATCTAGGGCCTAAAGTAAAATTAGTAATTTTAAATTACTAAATTAGAATTTGACGCAAAGTCCACTAGTCTAGAAGTAGAAGTCTAGAATGATTAGATTAGATAAGATTATTCTAGTACTACTAGAATCCTAGATCTAATAGAATCTAGAATAGATTTAAACTAGATCTACTAGTGACTACAGTTAACTAAAAATAACTAGTCTAGTTCTAGATCTAGTAGTACTAGTCTAGTTTCTACCACTACTAAAAAAAGTATTACAGTTTGAAGTTGAAGTAAGCCATCGTTTTAGGTATGTAAAATAGCCCACGGCTAGACTCTAGTAATGTACGAAAAAGTTACCTCATTGTCAAGGCTTTAATAAAGTTAATAGAAGTACCTATAATATTTAGATATATTTGTGTCAAATATTATAGACTATTTAAGCCTATAGAGAGTATAGACTATAAAAAAAGATGGATAAATGAATAATAAACTATTAATAAACCTAAGTCCTAAATGAATGGCTAAATAATAAATATATCAATATATATAGGCCTATAGGCCAGAAATTAACTTTAAACAGCAGTTTTTGCGAGCTAGATTTGCTATTTGTAAAATAGAGTGGCTTCCCCTGAATCTCGTTAAGTTTTAAAAAAAACTTAAGCAAGATGGCTGCTATAGTAATTGAGCATGGTAGCATCTCTTGGAAACTTCGCTAGTCTTCATTTATTACTGAAAAGTTTTAATTCAATTGTAAAACAGGTACGTAAATGAAACAAGGAAACATTTTTTGTATTTTTCAAAACATAAATCGGGAGAATGTTTACAATGGTGTCTGATAATGGAATCTTCTTTAAAAAAGGGGTGTTAGGTTACTAGTAGTCAACTAAATGCACACAATACATGGCTGACTAACCCTAACCCCAACCATACGCCTAACCCTAATTTCTAACCATAAAATTAGTCGAGATTACAATACTACTAGCAACCCAACACCGCTTTTTTTATAGAAGATTCCATTATTGGACACTGGTATCTATAATCTTCCCCTTAAATCCATCTGAAAATGTGAGATAATTATTAAAAATGAAGGAGCCACCTGTTTTTCACATTACTTGTCGTGGGCAATTTTACGTACCTAAAACGAAAAAAGTCTGGAAGAAACACTGCTTGCTGGGTCTATCTACATACGATTGCTTGGCGATGGGAGTCTCGTCAAGCTCAGTTTACATTACCAATGAACTATGGGGATGCTGTCATGCACAAAGTAACAGCTACCGAATGTAGCACTTAAAACATCGAGTGCATCCAGCTCATTATAAATCTTTGAAATACAAGTTATGGATAGTCCAATAACTACTAATACTTGAAGAACTGCCAGAATATATGCATTGTATTATAAAATTAATCCTTACGATATAACTAAAATGTGTATCCAAATATTTTGAGGCTAACGGGATCTGCATTTAAATAAACAAAGTCAAATACCTACCCCATTCAGTAGACTTATTAGGCTACTTTTGCATGGTAGCACAACTACATTTTTTAGATTTCGTAATGAGTAGCCTACTCGTGCATTAAACTAGAATAAAGGGCTGTACTCAATCACAATGAAAATAATTAAATGCTGGCTTTCAAGCTATGAGATCCCTGTATTCTTCTATTAGAACTTTAGCTCCGTCATTTAAATGACCTCCACCTCTCGCCTAGTTTAATATAAAGTTACACTTTCAACCCCATTAGGATGCATGAACTACTGATGACCTAACTATTGGGAAAAAAATATTCTGGTGTTAAATTCCCCTCCCCTACTCGCAGCATTTAACTTTGGAGCTATACACAACATCAGGAAGGTCTAGGTCGGTGTTGTATCTCGTGCAAGTTTACGCACAACACGACTACACATATAACAGTTAAGAAGCCAGTTCCTAAATGTTCTCTGTTTACTTTTTTCTGTTTGCAGATAAGCTTGGGGTATTATATTTGTTTCTGTAAATTGAAACAGGCGCATCCGCCCCGGCAGGGTTCAATTTGGTGCCCTGGGCTATCCTGTGAGCCCTATGGTGCATAATTTCGTTTTAATCAGTGCAATAGACTATAGCTAAGAAAGGTTACTATAGTCTTTAAGTGAATTAAATCCGGGCGTCCTCCCGCACCCCGGCAGGTTGCTATTTGGCACCCCTGGCCTTCCCCTGTTCGCTATGGTTCGTTTAAGTGAGTGCAAAAGACTGAATAAGTTGGGATACTATAGTCGTTTACTAAGCTGAAACAGGCTGATCAGACGGCGCCCCAGCATAGTGCGATTTGGTGCCCCGGGCTAGACTTTGAGCACTTTTTATGTTCCGGTTTGTGTTTTCTTTGTGGTTTGGTTTGTTTTCGTTTGCTTTTTTGCTTGGGTTTGTGGTTGGGTTTGGATTTGGTTTGTTTTCGTTTCCTTTTGTGTTTGTGTTTTCTTTATGTTTGCATTTAGGTTTTTGTTTGTGTTATGTTTGCGTTTTTTTTTTTTTTTTTTTTTTTGGTTGGTTGTGGTTAGGGTTGGCTATGCCGGATATATGCTGATTACTAAACACACATGTCATGGTCCTTTACAGGGGCCAGTGCAGGGACGGTTAGTGTTATCTAAACAATTATGTAGATCTGAGTGATCATAGAGTACCATTTTCCAAACAATTAATTGGCAGACTACAATGTTTAGAAATGGCATTCACTATGTAGCATATAGGGCCTATACAATTTTAAATTATATCTTTAATTCATTCACCTAACCCTCATAACTATAGCTTTCAAGTAGTGTAAAAATAGCAAAAATGAAAGTGTGAAAAGTTTATCATTTTGAAAATAAATTAAAAGTTGATTTTTGTTCTTATAGTTATTTATGGATTAGCACCTTTTTACAAGCTTTTATTAAACTCACTTCCTCTGTCTGTTGTAAGTCTGTCTAGATTGAAATGCCCGAGCGAAATTGCAGGCACTTTTAACTGACAATTACGGTTGGTAGTTGGTACGTGGGTCAAGACATGAAGACAATGCATCATGACATTCAATTTGACTTAATTGGTGGCCTGATTAATATTGTATGAATTAATTAAAATTTTGTCCAAATTAGTAGGCTGTCTCATCAAACTATTCCGCGCTATTACTATTAGACATGCGTCATCTCGTTCAATAGGTGCGCAATGGTTTTTAGTCATGAAAATCTAGTGTAAATGAAACAAGTGTAAAGTACTAAAAAATTGTTCATAAAAAACGTTTTAATAACAAGCTTTTATGTAATAATGCACTAAAAAGTAGAAAATAAATTATACACTGCTATTTAAATAACTATAAAGAAAAGCGTGGGTCTCTTACTAAGTGACCCACACTTTTCTTTATAGTAATTTAAATAGTAGTGTATAATTTATTTTCTACTTTTTAGTGCATTATTACATAAAAGCTTGTTATTAAAACGTTTTTTATGAAAAAAAAAAATTATTTAATTTAATGCTTATTCTAATTTCCTAATTAACATTAGTGTTTTTTTTCCTCTTTCAAAAGAAAAGGAGAATTAAAGAACTTTTATCAGAGGACATTCCAGCAGATGAGGCTAAATTACTGTGTAATGGAAGGTACATTTTTTTTACTTTGCATAAATGCACATTATCAATAACAATTCTTTTATTATATGTATAGATTTAGTATATAAATGAAGACCTCGGTAAAATACCAAGGATGTCAGTTTTATTTCTTGAGCTATCCAATTTTGGGGGTCATCCATCTATAACTTTAAAGTAGGGTGAAGAGGTCAGAAAAATTCAACTCTTGAGAGATGGAATTTAAGCCCATGTGGATGTGGTGTCTAAAATTCTATATAAAATTTGAACCATTGCAGTAAGCAAGTTATCAAAGAAACAGAAATAGAGTTTATGAGCTTAATGTACTGGCGAAAAATACTGGTTGAATTAAGGAGGTGTAAACCATTAAATGCTTTTGCATGTTATTCTTATGGAATTAGAAGTAAATTTTGAGAAAACCTTCGGAGTGGGGGAAGAGAATTCATATAATATCAGTAGTAGGCTTTTAAACTGAGTACTCAAAAAACTTAAGAAGGGATGGGGCAACTGACTACACAAAACTCCAGATAAAATGGATAAAAAGCTTATTTGCAAGACTAATAGTAATAATGTAATATCAATTATCATAGTTCTCAAGTGTCAAATGAATTAATAATTCACTTTAATTTTAGCATCTATATATATAATTCTCTTCTTGGATACCCTAGAAAACACCAAGCTGTAAGCGCGTCTAGCAGCCCCCTCTCTTCCTTACTAAGCATATCCCTACAACCCCCACATGGTCTGGTGAGCTGTGTTTCACGCTAAATGTTTACAATTGTAAAGCCGGGTTAAGTGACGGCTATTAGGGGCAGATAATTTAGTTTGAAACGATTTTAAACTTAGGGGAGGTAACTAAGAGGAGGCTGCTTTCACAGGGGTGGTAGGGTATGGGGTTGGGGGAAAGGAGGGTGGGGGAGTTATCGTCCTTAACGATAGTGTTTTAAAGCAATTATTTTCAGTGGCAGCATTGTTACTTTTGAATTCACAAATTATGAAGTACTGAAACGTAGAAAATAAAACAACTAAATAGCGGTGTATGATACGCCGCAGGTCGGCTTGTTGTAATTAACATTTCAAGAAACATAATGAAGCTACATTTATCATTTTAAAATAATTTAACTGGTTTGTTTTAATGACTCTTTAATTTAGGTTTGCTTGCACAGTGTGCCCTCACAATCCTATATTTGATACAGTAAATATTTTGAACGTTCATCGAAATGGAAAAAAACATCTTTCTTGTGAGTTTTGGTATATTCAAAATTGAATTTTGTAGTTTGGTTATACAAATACAATCAAGAAGCAGTAGTTTTCGTGATATACCTAATCTAATTATCTATGATTTTTATAAGGACAATGTGGTTGAAAAGTAGAGCGTTCGGTCAGGATTGTAGGATGTCCCGGAGTCCACCCAGCTCTGATGAGTACCTGAACCATGTTGGGGAAACTAAAGGCAGCTGAGCTTAGTGCTGGCCACACCATACCTTGATATAACGAAGTCAATAGACATATAAATGCTAATTCATCTGCCCTATGGATCTTTAGGTCTGAAGGAAGAGTTTTACTTATTATTGGATTTGTATGATTGCTGTAAGTCCTCAAAAATGCATGGGTTAACTTGAGTAGTTGTGGAACAAATGTAAGAACCATTGTTGACTGTCAGTCTTATTTGAGTTGCTAAACTAACTAAACCTGACCCTTTGTCAACTTGAGATTATTTATTTTTTTAAGTAGCACATTGATGGTACTTTCTTATTAGATTTGGAAACTTACAAAGAAAAAAAGAGAGAGGTACAACAACTTAAAACACTGAGAAAACATGAAACATTTCTTAATAATGGATTTCTTGTTACTGAGGTATGTGGTTTTTCCCCATAGAATTAGCTCTATATAATTTATTATAGATTTTCACAGATATGACGTTTTACACCTCCCTGAGTCAGAAAAACATAGTTTTGCAATTTTGTTCATATGTCTGTGTGTGTCTATGAACATGATAACTTGAGTACCATTACAGTTAGGTTGATGAAATTTCATATATAAGTATTATATCAAATTTGTAGTTCTGTGTCAACTTTTCAGCAATTTCTGGTAACTGGAAGTTGAACTTATTCTACTTTTAGTTTTTCAATTGATTCGAAGTAGTAATTTACGCTATTTCCGATTTTAAAAAAAAGGATATGAATTTATAAAGTATAATAATATTCCGCACTATTAAAGTATTATACACGTGCACTATTAAAGTATTATACACATATTGTTTGTCGTTCACTTAGTGCGCAATTCTTTTTTCCTCGAGATTCTATTCTATTTTACATCCACTCATTTAAGTCAGAAAAACCAAATAGTCAGAACCATATTAATTTTTATTACACCATTACACCATGCATGATTTTTAAAATATTTCATGGGCCTCTCAAATACCTTTGAGACTATTCTCGCTTGAGTCCATTAACAAATTCCAAAATGTACAACTAAGTGAATGCCAAGTTGGTCAAGTAGGCGAAACTTCAATGTATTCTACTTTCATGATTACTTTGCATCAATTATATAGCACTAGAATAAGAAATTAAGGATAATACTTACACTATCTTAGCATAAAGCAATTTTTTTACAAAGATTTACAATTGTGTTGTCACAGTTTTAATAGTGTTAAAATAGCCAAGTGGACAGTGTCAATTATTTGTATCTTAATTTTACAAAAAATATCCTTTTAATTTATAGCCTACCTTTAAATTGTAATAGTAATACCTTTTAAAATTTTTAAACCTACTGACTTTGGTTGAACAGCATACACAAAGTACTAATGGGCTACTACTGACATCACCTTACAACCCAAGAGTTAAAAGAATTAAAAGAAATTCTGGTGAACAGAGGCAGAAAATAAATCTTAATGATGAGACAAATTCACACTCCAATTCCAAGTTGACACCTGCTTCAAATTCTATAACACATAAATCACATTGGACTGTTGATGTATGCAAACAACAAATGGAAGGTCCCATTTTACATGACTGTAAACTTAAAAATATTTTTTCAAGTAAAACAGAAGCTCCTACAAAGCTAGAACCATACTTGTCTACAAGACGTACAGCTCCTGAAACTAGCACATCATCTTGCAGTAACCAAGGCTTTATAGAGCATACAACTCAAAATAAAATAAGACTTGGTACTGGAATTAAGCATCAAAGTTTTCAAATAAACCATCCACATCATTCACTTTCCCGGGTACAAAGAAATGGTGCCTTGCATAAAAGTATCTCAGCCTCTCCTCTTCAGACTACAAATACAACTAAATCAAGTCAAGATAATTCAGTCACATTAAAGCTCAAACAGTTACAAGGGTAAGAAATAGTTTAACTGCATACTAAACTAATCAGTACCTGACATAAGAATGATTATGAAATTGAGAGAATTGATTTGCATCCTAATTATTTATTGTTTATAATATTTAAATTATACTATAATATGGTCCATTTTACAGATCTGGATGGAAGAGAGACTGGGATGGGCAGTGGATCAAGGAGGCAGGTGCTGAATTTGATTCAGATGAAGAACCTCCTGATATACCTCTACAAATTTCAAAATAATTTAGCTTTTTATAATTTTATTATAAATACATCCATGTATTTTTATCAGTATATATACTCAATTCAGTTAAGTTATTAACATTTCGTTTATAAGTTTTTCTCCCCAAAACATTTTGTCAAGTTTTTTCTTCAACTATTTTTATTTTTTAATATTTTTGAAACACAATTATAGTATAGGCCTACTAATAGTACTATGTCTATAAACCGTCCATTGTTTTAAGATCTAATTAAAATTACAAAACATTGAAACTGAAAGCCCAGCCTTAAAGATTTTTATTGAATTTTACAATAGGCAACCTCACCCAGAACAGTTATATAAACGTCTAGAGCAGGGGTCTTCCAAACTATGGCCCTCGGGCCGGATGTGGCCCTCGAAGTCCTCTCATCCGGCCCGCGGAGATCTTTTTGTCCAAGGAAAAATCGTTTGTTGGTGATGGCTGAGGAACTTTGCCCAGAAAAATCAAAGACATGCCTGGAAGAAACTGGCCCCCCGAACTGAAATTTGATAGTTAATGCGGCCCTCGGACTGAAAAGTTTGGAGACCCCTGGTCTAGTGGATGCAAAATGAGGTGTTAATTTTAAAAACTTTGTCGGGTTCAATCTTATTATTGACCAGAATATGAAATTCACCTATGAAACAAATTGGACAATAATCTTATTTGAATTGAAAAGATTCAACTTACTGGTCTTTTATGCTTACATACTAGTTATACTACCTAACTCACAATCTAACCACTAAAAATGGAAAGCACATTGCATCAGAATAAGGCAAGTAGTTAAAAATATTTTATCAAAGTAAACTTTAGAGCGAATTCTGATAAGTTTGTTAGGAGTCAAAAAGTTGTGCAATAGTAATAGATTAAACCTTGTCACCAGATCGTTAATGAACTAGAAACATCAAGGATAGCAATTAAGCAAATATGTTGACACCATAAATTGATATTTATAGGATACACTGCAATCAGCAACTGGATACAATTCTATGGCAGAAGTGGTATGCATAAATATATATTTATGACATAAATGATAGATACATCGTCTGAGGCATTCTAAATAAATGTTCTTACTTTTAAATGTACTACTGGTTCTAGAGACTAATAATTATTTCAACAAAAATTTCTTTATGTGACCCTAGCACTGTTCCAGCCACCATAGGATCGTATATAGTCACAGACGCTGTTTACCTGTTAAAAGCTATGATTATCCTTTATTTTTATGTATTCAGATCTACTGTAGGTGTCATAATATATTTTTTGTACATTTTTTTAAAAAGACGCATTCTCGACAGATTGTGAACCCCTGCACTCTTCTGACCAAACATGTGTTTCAAATGTACTTGTTAGAGGCATACATATAACTTAAATTTTGTTTGCGACATATACTTTTACATATATAACCTCTCAAACATGGCACTTTTTAGGGTGTTGGAAAAAAAAAGTTAAAAACCAATTTTTAAAACATCACAACTTTTTTACTATTTGACTTGAGGTATATGAAAAAAATTTAGTGCCCACTATCTTAGAACCAGGAGTTCTTGACATAGCAACTTTCAAAAAAGCTCTGGGATAGTTTTAAAAAATAAGTTTGACACCCCTAGTTATATATTGCGCTAACATCGTAAGGTGTGACCTCAACATATAATTAGCATGGATTGATAGTGCAATTTGGTAGGCAAAACACGGATATTTTATACACTGACTGAACGTACTATTACTTTGTAATCAAGAAGTTATGAATCCAGTTCTCAAGGTCCCCCACGTTTACCTTTCTATTTCTATAATTATTCCAGACAGTTTTATAGTCCTTGACTAAATTGAATCAGGGGTGTTCGATTTTGCGATTGCATGGTTTTCTTTTGTGTTTTGTTCTGTTCCATAGTTGGTACATTTAAAAAAAGTAAGCACGGGTATGCAGCTAGTATATATATATATATATGTATATATATAATGGCTAATACTTTCATGACACCTGACATTCAGCACAACAAAGAAATAAACCAAAACCATAAAATACAAAGTTTTTAATGTACAAATAACTAATCAGCAGAGCATCTGCTTCATAAACAAATGTCTTTAAGAATTTAATTACAGAACAAATAAAAAATTATCAAACTGAGCACTAAAAATAATGTCTGCCAATAGTGCAATGCTGCTTGAAATCAGCTACAATGCAATGTCTTTATGCAAATGTTGGAGTAAATAAAATCACTTTAAAACATTTGCAAGTAAAGACTGTGTGCAATGCTGAAGCAGCTGTTTTAGGCAGCCAATTTGATCCATTTTAAAATTTTACCTGACATTATAAAACTTGGTAATTGCTGCCCAACTCACCCCTGAGAATAGAAAAATTGGAATGCTTAAAAAATATAATAAATTAAAAGAAGTAACAAGCTTACTATATTATTTTCTAAGTTAATTCGTTCAGCATTTAAAAAATAATAAAGAAAGCTTAGAAGTAATAGAAGTGCTTTAAAAATCGATTAACCTTTTTGCTGCAGCCTGTGATTGGTGCCATGAGCTAACCAACTAATAATCATAAATACTGCTTTTAGCTAATTTATCTCCATCACAATTTCAATAAATAGCATATTAATACAAAGAATAAACACAAATTCAATTATGTATCCTATGAATAAATTCTCAAAATGCCAATTTATCCATAACATAAACATCTTTGTATAAAGTTGACATAGTACATGAAAATATTCCAATGTAAGAACTAAATGTACAACTGCAGAACAATAAGTATTTAACAGCAGCATAAAAACTTCTGATGACCATACTATCTAAAGATTAAATGTCAAAGTATGTAGGAGTTCCTTGATCCCACCCAGCTAATAATGGTGTCTGATGTAAGTTGCTAGAAGTAAATTTGAGTATAATTGACAAGTTCTGAAAGGGTTCTTTACTTACTAAATACAGCTGATTTATTTTTTAGCAAATGTGATTTTCATAGCATTAGTGGGTGTAATCTTGAAACTTTGTAAAGCATCTTTAGCAGCACCAGCCTGAACATCTGTTTCAAATTCAACAAATGCAATATCGTGACGACCAGGAACAAGACGAACTTCTTTAAATCCAGGGAATCTATGAAAAATAGTACAACATTAAATAACATCCAATAAACGAGATTGTATTAAAAAAGTTATTAAAAATCAAACTACATTATTAAAAAACCCTAACTCCAAAACAATTATGTAAATATAAATGCTTATTATTTCAAACTTCAACCAACGAAAAAATACATTTACTTGGTACCTAACACCTATAGTATCTTTACCTTATTCCAGTTTGTACAAAGAACACAGATTTTAAGAAACGTGCCACAGCGAAATAGATCAATTTTAGCTTACATGTGGTAATTAAAAACTGACTTAAATATACTTACTGATTAAAAAGCATACACAACATCATCTCAGTAGTTTCTTCTGGTAAGTTAGTGATGAACAAAATCTGGTTTGGAGGCTGCTCAGGAATGGCATTGATTGCAGGTGGTGCATTTTGAGGCATAGAAGCAAGAGCATTTGGAGCAGAGGTGTTCAACTGAGGTGGTGCTGAAAATTTTTTAATTTTAAGAATCTTAACTCTAAGGTAATGGTGAGGTAAAAATAAGAATAAACTTTTATTTATCCTTTGCTTTCCATAAAAAAAAATCAGTAGTCCACTGTTTTTGAAAGCCACAATGAATTATATTTCTTAGTTGAAAAGGATGGTTTCAGCCTATCCATCATTTCTGTATTAAAATTAAAAATAATTTGAAACTTACGTCTAGGGGCAATTTGTGTTGATGAACCTTGAGATGTGGCATTCTGATTTGAATCAGAGGCTCCCTGAGACCTACAAAAAAATAATAATGTCATTAAGAATTTGAAAATTACTATTACAACTTAATGTACCAACTTTATTTGAAATATAAAAATAAATACCTTGATTTCTTTTTACGTTTACCACCTTCTTCTTCGTGTTTATCTCTGCTTCTTTTGGGCTGTTCAACGTAAGTTCCCTTCAACTTAGCAATTACTTCAGAATCTTTTTTAGCAAACTGGATTCTCTAATTAATTAAGCAAATACATATAAAAATATATTAACATCAGAACTACATTTGTAAATGAGTGAACTGATTGACAAAACAGAATAATCAACTGTTAAACACATGGGGTTATGTGTGGTTTATATTAAAAGTACAAGATTCATGCAGAGGTGTAGTGAGGGCGGGAGGTGCAGATCGCACCAGGTGACACCAACGTAAAAATAGCAAAATATATAGAAAAGATCATTCCATTTAAATTAAAGACTAATTGTAGTTGAATTGTATTTTAAGAGCAAAATTGATAAATCTCGACGGGGGTGGGGGAAAGAGAGAGATGGTGATACTATGACGTAAACTTGCTATAAAGAAAATGTTGTATCAAGCCGTTTTATTATCTGACTATAGATAAACATTGTTACTATTACTAGTGCAAAGTTTAGACCTATCAATGGGTGGGTGGGTGTGACACCAACGGGCACCTCTAGGTGCCACACAGGTTGACATCTGAGCAAGAAACACCATTGCATTCAGGTACTAGAAAAAGCAACCATTACACTAAATTTGAACCTAAATAACTATTTTACTTCCCACACGGCTGACTGTAGCCCTAAGCTTTAGATATTCCAGTTTGTATGAGCTACTTTCTTTTTCAATAGTTACATAATAAAGCCCAATTCAACTTCAGAGGCATTTTAATTAGTTCACGAATTATATTGCCTGTAATTTTGAGAAAAAAAAAACAACAAAAAACAAATTTAATCTTAGAAAAAGGACCACTAATAATAGAACAAAGGGAAAACAAGGTAATATAAAACTTGATATTTTCCTCTGCCACCTGTATCTTCAAAATCTCGTTACCAATGAGACTTCCACTACTACGCTTAAATAAAAGTACTATACATAGTAGTGCCATCGATGGCACACCAAACTGTACCACTCAAAATTTCCGGGCAACAGCGGGGCACAGACCTGTAATGGGCTGTGCTAAATTAAATAATGTACCGTAATAAAATATTTGTTTGCTAATGTATGTTTCCTCTCAACTACGCCATTGCAACACATAAATAATGTCATTAGATCTCTTTATACACATTCAAAATTTTTATTTTGCAAAGCTATAAAAAATTCCCATTCTGAACCTCCCCAAAAAAGTAAACTTAAAACTACTTACCATAGGTTTATCATAAAATGGAAAACCTTGCATTGATCGTAAAGCATTTGCTGCACTGTTAATTTCTTTAAATATTACAAAAGCCTGTCCTCTCATTTTCAAGGTCTTTAGAGCCACAATATCCAATATTTGTCCAAATTGTGAGAATATGGCATACAAAGACTTTTTGAGTTCTGCAAAATTTTTAGAAAAAGTCGAAAGGGAAAATGAAAATACGACCTATATAACAATCTCAGATTACGGCATTTACAGGATAGTAGTGATTAGCTTAGCAATAGTCCTAAAAAAATAAGGGCTAAAAATCTCACCATCCTTCTTTATCTTTTCATTCAAATTGTTAATATAGATTGTGTGATTAGGGTGAATTGACATGATGACTCAAAGCAACTGAAAAAAAGTTGAACAGAACAAATTTTTAACAATTTTAACTATAAAAATTACAAAAAGAAGCCACAATCTCAGGTTTAGGGCTACCACAATTTTCCTATTTTTTTTTTTACAACTTCACTCTTTACCCAACAAGGACAGATCTTCAAACTAAAATTTGTTTATTTTAAAATTCTGACTGGTTTAAAAATTTCAACTAAACCTATTTTAATAAACCCACAGACAAACTACAGGACATCAGTTAACACTTTAATTAATATAGGCTTACTTAGACGAAATTTATTTAAATTCATACAAGTTACAATATGACATAATTTTATTAATGTTTTTTAGAGTCTGTATTTTTTAAACTTAGTGTAGAATTCACAAATTATGAATTAGGGGTCATCCACTTATGACTTCCACACACAGGGGGGGGGGGGGGGGGGGGGGGGTCTGAAATAAAACTGACTTTTGTGGACGCATATGGACTTGTATAAGGTAAAAATGGCTTATATGGACTCTACTTCACCTGCCCAAAATAACAAGGCAGTTATATACACTCTAGGCATGCTGCCCAGCTTCGCTTAGGCTTTCGAAAACATTGAGAATTTGAATGCTTAATTAATTCGCCCGAGGGTCGGTCTACGACCTCAGGAGTTATGAAGAGGTTCCTACGCTGACATTTTTGTTCGAATTATAGCCCGTCAGTCGAGGTCAGTTTTGACCCCCCCCCATCGTAGACTTTTCGGCCAACCCAAGGCAAGATCCTGCCAAATTTGAAGCGCCTGCGGCGTCGTGAAGTGCCATATTGGCCACCCGACAACTTTGCTTTATATATTATAGAGATTAGCAAATTGCATAGATAAACAAAGATTTCAATAAAGTAATTAAGGCCTGAAATACTTTAGTATAGAAATGTATTATTTGAATAGATTCTAGATCTAGGTAGGGTCTACATCTGTGTAAGTCTAGTTTTCAGTAGATCTAGATCATCTAGATCTAGAATATCTAGATCTAGAATCCAAATAGATAAAATAATTTTTTTAAGTTTAGGCCGAGAATATCGTATTGTATAGTCTACATTTCATAGCGTACATAGCTCTAAATCATATTTGAATGAAATAGTTCATTTCTTTTTATTCTTAACTCGGAAGATGACGTCATCAGTTTCGTGCTCTTTTTTTAGTGTAAACAATAAGCGACGTCATTGTTAAATGCGTTGTTGTCCCAAGTATATACATTTTTCCGGTTGCATAAATAATACTGTTTCTCTACATTCGCATACGCCTTTAATTTTTATTTTTCTACTTTAAATAAAATTGTGGTTATACATTTAAAACATCTAACATATTATTTTCAACAAAAGTCCGTATAAAGTTCTTCATATATCGCTGCAGTTTCTGACATGATGTCCGGCGAAAATATTTTGCGGACAGACAGACAGAGAGAGAGAGAGAGAGGGAGAGAGAAGTGTGAACGTTGCCCGTTATATATTAGGATTACAGTGTTCAAGTCATTTACTAGGTACTTTAGATTTCTGACTATGTAGATCTTTCATTCACTGTATTTATATAAAATATTGCTTTAGAAACACTTTCCTAATTTGCACAGCAGTTTTATAACAAAATGGCTTAAAGATGAACTCTACTTCACCCGCCCAAAATAATGAGGCAATTATAATATTATATGCACATAAGATTAGATTTCTAACTTAGTAGTTCTTTCATTTGCTGTATTTATATAAAATATGGCTTTAGAAACATTTTCATATTTCATATTTAGGGTTGCCAGATACCTTTTCCGAAAATACTGGACACCTTTCCATCCTTCCCTTCTCAGGTATACCGCAAAGCAGAAGAAGGGGGGGGGGGGGGGGGGTAACAGAGTATTATTCATATACTTGTCCAGTATTTATATTTATCCTGGACAGTCTGCTCAAATACTCGACTGTCCAGTTCAAAACTGGACACCTGGCAACCCTATTCATATTTGCGCAGCACAGTTTTTGTTTTTGGGGTTATGGGAGTAAGCCAACACAAAAATATAACTTCTGTATTATTTTTATTCATTTCAACAGCATTAGGGATCATTCTAGCTAAAAAACTCTGCAAATATGAACAAAATACAACTGCAACTAAAATAACTATGCTTAATTTATTCAGGTCAGGTAGGCCTATACTATACCATAGGTACTAGGATTACATCTCGTTTTAACCCGCGCGGCGAGTTTTTTGTCCCCGTTACCCAGACGCCAAGAATTTGCGGCGACGCGAGTGCTATAGTTTCGTAATTTTTATCGCTCGGTGTTAGTTATCGCCCGACCAATTTTCGTGCGATTATCGAATTTTCATTAAAAAATTGTCATTTTGCGTTTTTATTGTTTTTTTTTAAATTTTGTTCATGGATTATTCAAGGTGGAGTGTTTCAGTGAAAATAAGGTAAGTTTAATTTACTCCCTACTGTTTATTTTTATAAAAAGGGGGAATTTGATTGCTTTATTTGAATTCTACACTACTTTTCTCTATTGGGTAATCTATCGTTTTGGGTACGTAAAATCACCCGCGGCTATTAATGTACGAAAACGTTACCTCATTGTCAAGGCTGTAATAGAAGTATATTGTGATATGTTTGTGTCAAATATTATAGATAAATGAATAATAAACATAAATCAATGGCTAAATATATCAATATAGGCCAGAAATTAACTTTAAACAGCAGTGTCTGCAAGCAAGATTTTCTATATAAACAGCAGCCATTTGTAAAATAGAGTGACTTCCGCCTGAATCTCGCGCTATAAGTCTATAAAAATAAAACTTTAACAAGATGGCTGCTATAGTAAATGAGCATGGTTGCATCTGTTAGAAACATCGCTGGTGTTCATTTATTACTGAAAAGTTTTAATTCAATTGTTTAAAAACAGGTACATAAATGAAACAAGGAAACATTTTTGTATTTTTCAAAACATAAATCCTCCCCAAAATGTGAAATAATTATTAAAATGTAAGGAGTCACCTGTTTTTCACATTACTAGTCGCGGGCGATTTTACGTACCTAAAACGATAGATTACCCTCTATTGTTTTAAAAAATCAAGTTGTTTGGACATAGCGCACAAAAGTTAGGTAAAACTCCATTTTAGCGTATTTTATTTCTCCGCTGCTTGTTTACCTCCGGTTGAGCGTATTTTATTATAACGACCGAAACACACCAAAACATTAGGAAAACACGATTCATTTATTTGTATTGTATTTTAATTTTTGTTTTAACAAATTAATAAAAATGAATTAAAAAAACAAAGAGACTGACTTTGTTTTAGATTTTGATAATTTATTTTTGTTAAAGTTAAAACTTGAGAAAAATCCAAATTTAGAATATTGAATGTGCAATGTTCGTGTGTCAGAATTTTCATGGCAATGGGTGAAGTACGTAAACGTAACTTACAATTGCAAGGCGGTTAAGTTTGTATTGTTACAAGTATCTCCCAGGCATGATACTATAAATAAACAATGAACTTACAATGACCCCAAAACTGAGGCCAACACAATTTCAAATAGCAATTGCCCGAGCTATGACGTATGCTGATAATTCAATGTCAATGTGAACTCACGGTGAACCCGCGACCGTGTAAGGCTTTTTCTCCCGCTGACGATTACACGAGATTCGATATTTAATTGGAACAGTTCTAATGCTTTTTATGTTTTTTTTTACCTTTTCTAATTAAAAATCACATTCATTAAAAAAATAAGTAGATCTAGTGTTTTCCTGACGTTTTTGTGTGTTTCGGTTGTGTTTATAATAAAATACGCTCAACTGGAGGTGAACGTGAAGCGGGGAATAAAATACGCTAAAATGGAGGTTTACCCAAAAGTTATATGCTGCACAGATTTGTTACCTTTATAAAAATACGTTTGTTTACAATTTGAAAGCGAAAGTGGCAAGGAAGGTAATAGATAAAATAGTGGCGAGCGATGTTTTGACGCCGGCGAAAGTGGCGAACGATGTTTTGCCGCCGGCGATAGTGGCGAACCATGTTTTGCCGCCGGCGATAGTGGCTAACCATGTTTTGCCGGGTACCTACTTTACCATGACTTGTCACAATGGACACCAGCGAGAAAAGTCTCAAAGGTATTTGAGAGGTGCATAAATTAATTTAAAAATCGTGCCCGGCGTAATTACAATTAAAATGGTTATAAAATCCTGTCTGTCTGGTTTTTTTCGGACTTTACTAAAGATTGGATGTATTTGATGTTTTTAATATTTTCGGTAACTAAATTAAAAATTAAAAAAAAAAGCAAAAATAATATGGTTTTCACGTGTGTAACAACATGAATTCTTTGTTGTTATTGTGGGTTCTTCAATATACTCATACGAGCAACAGTAGTTGTGAAACAATAACTTTATTTACACTTTGTACAGAGAATTAATAGATCCATAGTAAATCCATGGTCACAACTGGTATAAGTACAATCACAGTCAAGAAACAAAGTGTCGTAGTAACATCCTACATTCACAGCCACAGTCCTCAGGTTCCAGTTCTAGCACACAACACCCGTTCACCTTTCGCTCTCCCTTTTATTCACCACTTTCTCTCCCCTTACGTCAATGAGCGATCTCACCCAAAACACGGAAAAACACATGACGATCGCTCAGACAGTCCTTCCGCTAGCCAGGTACTCTTCATTCATGCAAAACACAATATAATAAAGATACATAATAATACAGTCTGTGACACGTCCCCCCTTCGAATAAAATTTTGTGTAACAAAATTTATAAATACTATATTGGTAGGGCAGGATCATGTGCCAGACAACAAAAAAGTGTGTACAATTCAAAGTAGAGTAAAATATATTCATTTTAGACTAAGCACTTGTAGTCATTAATTTATAGTGCATACAAATACAACAGTATGTAGTGACTATATCAGTGATAATTAAAATATGTCAGTGTTTTGAACAGAAACTTTAAATGTACAAGCATTATATGTAATATTTAATGCATCAATATACATTCACATAGGAGA